GGCTGCTGCAGCTCCAGGCATCTCACCTGCATTCAAGGCAGAAGGAAGATAGGGGGAGGGGATGGTGAAAGCTGTGACAACCCCTTTTATCAGGAAGGCACAATATTTCCCTGAATTCCTCCAGGACTTTGGTTTACATCTTAGTGGTAACAATACTACCCACAGCTGCAAGGGAGGCTGAGAAAGACAGCATTTTGAGGACAAAGGAGAAGGGCACAATTTATGTCAGTCACCAACAATGTCTGCCACAGTCTACATACAGTTGTGTGTGCTTACAATTATATCGTATGTAAATTTTGCTTGCTACTTTTTCCTTTTACTGTTATGTCATTTGAAGTCTCCTTATCGCTATGTTGTTTTTATAATTCTCATTTTTAATGGTTTAATAGTATTTCTTTAAGTGGATAAGTCATAATGTATTTGTTGGACTTGGGTAGCTTCCAATTTTTTCCATATTTTACATAATACTATGATGAACATCTTCATGCACAAAGTATTTTCGTTTAGTCAGATGTCTCCCAAGCATAAATTCCATAGAGCACAATTACTTGGGTCAAAAATTTTAACATGTTTGCTGCTCTTGCTACATTACCTTATTGATTTCTAAGAGGATCGGGCTATTTGACACTGTGTAACAGTGCCTGGCTGTCCTAATTTTGCCGCAACTGTGCCCGCACAGAGTATTATCATTTTAAAAAGGTTTTTACAAAATCAGCGTCATACAACGATACCTTAAAGTTGCTGTTGTTTTTATTTAATTTCACAAGATTGTAAACTATCATAAACTCAATAAAAATTAACTTAAAAAAAAAACTAAGGAGGAACATTTTTCCGCATGTATTTTTCACTTTGTATTTCCTCTTTGGCGATGTATTTGTTCATTTCTTTGTCCGCTTATCTCCTGGGGTAAGAGACCCGTTGTTATAGAAATGGCCGTACTGTTCCTGGTATCAGCTCTGGGCATAAGGCAACTCAACTTCTTCCTTTGATCCTACAGATTCCTGGGAGGGAGGCGGGGTGGGGAATAGGATCGAGTCACCGATGAGGGAAGTGGGCTCAAGAAGTTCACGCAGCCACTAAGAGGCAGGTCCCTGGACTCCAAGCCCAGCGCTTTTCCTTGCACAGTATTGCTCTTTTAAAAATAACAGCTTTCTTGAGATGTAATTCACAGACCATACAATTCACTTGTTTAAAGTATCCGACTCGATCGTTCTTGGTACATTCACAGAGTTGTGCAACCATCACCACAATCAACTTTAGAACATTTTCATCATCCCCAAAGGAAACCCTGAACCCCCTGGCAGTCACTGTCATATTGGGTAGACGTAAAACTATTCTGAAGATATTCAAAATATTAAAGATATTAAATTTATGTGCTAATATTATAATTACATAATTATTATATATGTATATATAAATACATTTATATAATATATAACCATTATTAAATAAAATATTAAAGATATTAAAAATATTTGGAGAGAAGAGAGGTGTGGCATGGGCTGTGTGAGGAGGGCAGAAGCTTAGACTGTGCTACGGACTTGCTGTGTGACCCAGGTCACGTCCCTTCTCTGGTTCTTCGTTTCCTCCTAATACAAATAGCTATTTATTGAGCGCCTGCTGTATGCCAGGCTCCTCACCAGGCGCGTCACAGATGTTCATGACCATTCTCTATAAAGCGGGGTGAGGAGACCCTCTGTATTGAAGCAGGAAACTAAGACCCCGAGCAGAGATGCGGAGTCATTCGGGTCCCTGTGCTGGTTGGTGGCAGAGAGGGGCCTGGTGGGGCGGGGAGGGGTCCTGACTCCCAGATCAACCACCACATCAGCTGCCTTCCGCTCCTGGCTTCTGGAGCTGCCCCAGTGACAGGTGGGGACAGGTGGGAGGGGGTAGGAGGGGCTTCTCCTTCAGTACTGACTGAGGAGGGTCTGAAGCCACCTGGCACTAAGTGTTTGTCTTGCCCTCTAGTGGCCACAGTCAGCGGCGAGGGTGTCTGACCGGGTCCATTCTGCAGAGTCCCCTTCCCACTGCCTGCCATGCCAACCCGCCTCTGCCCCACCCCAGCACACACTCACACCAAACCTTAGAGTCACAAGGGGTCTGTCTGTTGGATCGTTCCTTCAGTCCTTCAACAAACACGAAGTGCTCACTCTGTCAAGCCCTGGCCTGGGGCCGGGGCCGGGGTCGGGAGCAGACAGTTCCCAGGCATTTGTAGGAATCTGGGTGTTCCGGAAACAGTTGAATGTGGGGCAGCAAAAGCATCCTGGGAGGTCTAAGCTGAGACCTGAAGAATGAGCAGAAACGAGCCAGAAAGGACTTGGAGGAGGGTGCTCCTGCCTATTCCGAGGCAGAGGGACTAGCATGTGCAAAGGCCCGGAGGTGAGAACAAAAAGATGTTCCCTCTGATGACAGGTTGGGCTATCGAGTGGGAGGGGTAAGAGGTGCACTGAGGGAGGAAAGAGGGCAAAGATGATCATGTTAGCCCTGCACGGAAGGCTGGACTTTTTCCTGGAGCACCAGGGAGCCACAGGACGGGGTGGGGCGGGGGGGGTGGGTTGGACAGGAGCAGATGGAAATTTCAGAGCGATCACTCTGACTGCTGAGTGGAGAAGGGTTGGGGTAGGCAGGAGGCAGGCAGGGTTGGTTCTAGGCCTGTACTGATTTCTCAAGACCCAGGGAGCGTAGGGATGGGGGAACAGAAGGGACTTCATTGTCCACAGAGTGGGAGCCAGTTCCCTCCAGAGAAAAATGACAAGGGGGCCAGGTTGTAGGGCACGCCTGACCCCGATACCCACACATCTCTTCTCGCAGCCCCCTCTATGTCCCTGAGAGGATGAGGTGATGCTCCACATTCTATGCAGGAAGTCACAGAGCACAGAGACTTGCCAGGTCACATGGAAGTCAGTTGACAGCCAAGCCCAGGTTCCATAGGGTTTGTGGCAACCCCAAGGTGAAACACCCCAGCTGCCGGCTTCTCCTGACCAGCTTCCCGTCCCTAGACTAGGGACAGTTTGGCTGAGGGGTCGGGCAGGGCCAGGCCCCAGGGAGGAGCACCCTGGCTGCCCTCACCACCACCACCACCCCCCCCCACCCCCCCCCACCCCCCGCATCGAGGCAGACAACAAGCCCAAGGGCCCCCAGGCTATCACTCACCCACAGCCTCCAGGCCTTGTCTACGGAGACAAGGGGCCTGTCAGAGCTGCCCGCCCGTAAAGCCGATGAATGGGCCCTGGATGCCAGTCGGACAATACCCAGGCTCTGGGGAGGAGAGATTAATCGGCCACAGCCCAAACCGGTCTCAACTGCCCCGGGTCCATGGAACCCCTTCCCCGTGGTCCTTGGCCATCTCCAGGAGCGACTCCTGGGAAATGCGACCCCACAGAAGGGAAGGAGCTGGGCTGGGGGCCCCGGGGGCAGGGGTGTTGCCAAGCATGGGAAGGTCAGTGGTCACTTAGGCTACAGGGGAGAGATTTGGGATGGGAGAGGAAGGCAGGGAGGGCCAGAAGGCAGACAAGCGAGGCTGGGACAGTCGAGCTGGACACAAACCCCACCCCATCCGCAGAGAGAAAGCATGGACCTGGAGCCCACCTTGCTGGGTGACCTTGAGCGAATCCCGTCTTCTCTCAGGGCTCAGGTTGCATATGTGCAAAATGGGGCCCCAAGAGTCCCTGTCTTGAGCAAAACGGTGCGAGTATGGAGAGGCCCACGAAGGACCGGCAAGTCACGGCCCTGTCTCCCTCTCCCCCTCCCCGCCCCTCTCACTGGTTCCCGACTCAGCAGGGCGGGGGTGTCACAGACACCGGACAGCCACATGCTGCCTACGTCCTGCTGGCCCAGGACCCTGGGAGACGCCCAGAGGTGTGCCCCCTCTCCTCTCCCAACTTTTGTTTTGAAAATTCTCAAACCTGGAGAAAAGCTGGAGGAAGAGCAGACCGAACACCTTGATTCCTCTCCTTTTAAAACTAAGCCATCGTAAGATGGTAAATTTTATGTTATGGGTATTTTACCACAATAAAAAAAACGAAAAGGAAAAAACCCACAAACCGTTCAGCAGGCGATTGTAACAAGTGTAAATTCAGATTGGACAAAAAGACTAAACGGACTGTGCGCCAGGCACCAGGCACAAGCCACCGGCTTTGTACATACTAAGTCAAAGTCACTTAAATGGCACAGTATCCCCATGCTACAGATGTGGAAATCGAGGCTCAGAGAAATCAGGCAACGTGCCTCAGGTCAGAGTCAAGATGAACTTGGATGTCTGACCTCCCTCCCAAGTGGGAATCCCTGCGACTAAGGGCGGATGGCTGCCCCCACCCCAGCTGCCCACCCTCCATGCCAGGACCTCCACTTCAGCATCCTCCTGCCGCCTCATCAATCTAGCACCCCTGGCCTCACCCCCTGGCCAAGGCTCTGTGCTCAGAGGCCAAAACCCCTCTATTGCCTGCCCCCTACAAGACGGCCTTTCCCCGCTCCCTCTGTTACTTTTTGAACGACCTGGATGAGGATCCAGGGACCTGGGTTCAAGGCCGGCCTCTGCCACTCCCCAGCTGTGTAACTTGGGGCGAGAGCCCTCAGCTCTCATCCGGAAAATGGGTATGACGCCCCGCCTCACAGTGGGTGGAAGGTAAAGGGGATGAGGCCTGTAGGAGCCCAGCTCAGGGAGCATAGTAGGCTAGGTACTGGGCGCTCCGTGCCCTCCCGCCATCCTGGCCTGAGACTGGACGGGGAAGCCCAAGGATCCTTCAGCTTGTCGAGTTTGCTTGGGATGCAAGTCTCACAAGGTGGCCCCTTCTAATCCGGTGAGTTTACCTGGGTGTTATGGGGAGAGATTTGGCGACATGTCCCACCCAGGGACTGAGGACGCACCCTCCGCCCCCGCGACGGTCCACCCCAACGCGCGCGTCTCAGGCTGGCCTGGAGCCTGCCCAGTCCGGCGCGCCCAGGAGGGCGGGGGCCCCCCAAGGGGCGGGGTCTCCTAGCCCCGCCTCCAGGCCCTGGTCCGCGCCGGACGGTCGGTATATCCGAGGGGACAGCGCGCAGCGGCAGCCGCAGGAGTTCGGTCCCCGCAAACGCCTCGCAGAAGGTGAGCTGACCGCAGGAGCCGGGCCAGGCGAGGTGGGTGGGGACCGGGTCTGTGAACAGGGCAGGGATCAGCCAGGTGAAGGGGAGGGCTTGCCCCGGGCCCTTCAGCCTAGGAGGGATTCCCTTCTGGCCCCCGGGGACGCGCCACGGCCGTCAAACTTCGCATCTCTTTCTTGGGTACCAAAGAGTGTTTGATGAGGAAGGAAGATGGGCGCCAAAGAGTTTGCGGGGGCAAATATGGGCCAACAGCGAAGTGAGGCTTTTAGTGAGCCTAGCCTATGTGCCCAGCACCGGCTAGGCACGGGGCCTCAGCCCGGACCAGACTCATACAATTCCTCACCCGCCCTGGGTGGAGGTGCGGGTGCGTGGACACAGGTGCTGTTTAAAAGGGGGAAAGTGACAATAAATTGGTGCTTTTCAGAGTCCAAAAAGTGTGTACTCCCATGCTGGGATGTGTTTGATTTTCTTGCTTATAGACTTTATCCGGGAGATGGAAGAAGGTGTGAGTCATCATTGGTGATGGCTCCAGACTTCCAGATGGCATGAGGCGAGCTGGGAGGGACGCAGCGGGTCGATATTTCACCTCCATTGTTTTCTGAGACCCATGTGTGCATGGCCAGGGCTGGAGGAGAGACCAGGCAGGCTCTTCCTGGCCGGAAGCCCCCCAAGAGCAACCCCCAAATCACCCGTGCTTAAGGGTATCCTCAGCTTACTAGGGCGCCCAGCTGGAAGGGTGAGTGATCGCAAGCTGATCTGGTAGGAAGTGCTGCTGAGGGAGTGGGAGGCCAATCCAGGCAGGAGAGTCAGCGTGGCCAAAGGCTGGAGAAAGGATGCTGCCTGGGGAAATGGGAGCAGCTTGGGGGGCAGGAGAAAGGGGGGCTGCATGGGGGAATCGTGGGACTGGTGAGGCTGGAGGCCTGAGGAAGCAGAGCTGGAATGCCAAGCTGTGAACCCAAGAGCACAAGAAAGCTCACAGGGCCCTGAGCTCCCCCTTCCCCCTCTGGGGACCCTGCACTCCGTGATTTCACCCCGCTCTGGCCAGTGGCCTGCTGCCCCCTCCTCCCCCGGCCCCCCAGCTCACCAGGGCTGCAGCATTTCCCAGCTGCAGTCCTGGAAGGGGCTCCTGGAGACCATCCCTTTGTACAAGTAAATGTCATCCCCAGTGGGTGGGCTACCCCATCCTGGGCTTCCAGCCCACTGGGTTGGCTCCCAGCCCAGTGGGGTCTAGGAGCCAAACAAGGAGCAAGATGACCCCACAGGAGAGAGAGGGGGTAGCAAGGCAGAACACTGAGCTGCTTTCCTTTGCTTTTTCCCTTCCACAGTCCACACTGGCCACGCCTGTGACCCCTGCTCTCCCTCACCTGCCCCTGCTGGATCCAGAATGGCTCCCTGGTTCTGCCACCTCCTCTACCTCCTGGTACTTGAGCTTCTGGGAGGGGGTCGGGTGCAGGGGAGGAGGCTGAGGGGACTCAAAGCTGCTAGGGTTCCAAGCGGCCACCTCACATCATGAGGTCACTCCAAAGGTTCCACAAGACAAGCCCCTGGCATAGACATAGAATAAAATCATCCACACGGTGCTGTACCTTTCACATTCATCATCGGCTTGTTTATTCCTCACACGGGGGAAACAGGCTCAGGGCAGGGCAAGATCACACTCCGGGTCAGACTTGGACTCAGGTCTGACTGCAGCGCCTGCAGCTTCCACTGCACTCCTCTGGAGTACACAGTAGGCATTCAATAAATGCACACATGGAGGTGGGGACCTGACTCAGCCCCCACCTGTCTTCTTCTCTCTCAGATAGGGAGTCTCTGTGGGACCTTCTCCAACTCCCCGGGTGAATCAAGGAGTCCTTGGGTCGCAGGTTGGTATGAGGGATCCCCCAGAGAGACACCCCTTTCTCCCAGCTCTGCCAGCCTGGGGTCCACGTGGTGTCTGGCCTCCAATGCAAAGGAAGGGAGGAGTTGCAATTTGGTTATATATAGACACCATTATATCAGGCTCTGGGCTGGCAGCTTCCCTCATGCCCATCTCATTTCTGCCATTATACAGATGACAAAACAGACTCAGCAAGGGGATGGGACTCGCCAGGTCTAGAGCATGGCCAGGTTCAGCCCTATCCACCCCCAAATGACTCTGAGCCCAGTGTCCTTGGTCCTGCCCTTGCCCCCCACCCCCACCCCACAAGGGTCAGATGCCCACACACTGCTTTCCCACACCGTCTCTCCTCTTGCCCCGCAGCTCCAGTGGCTCCGGGAGAGGTAGTGGAGACTGCAGATGGGGTGTGCGCGTTCCCAGGGCAGCGGCTGAGCTGGTGGCAGGCCCAAGAGTCCTGTGAGCAGCGGTTTGGCCACCTGGCACTGGGGCCACCAGATGGGATCCTTGCTCCACGGCTGCCCAACCCCATCTGGGTAGGCCAAAGAGAGGCCCCTCTGCGAAGACCCCCGCAGAGGCGTGAGTGTCGGTCCGGGGCCTGGGAAATGAAGGGGAGGGAGTGGCTGAGGCTTTGGTGAGATGGGAGCCCACAGTGACAGTCCTTGAGAATCGAGCCCGGAGGAAGTCCCCATTGCAGCTCAGGTTCACTTGTCCTGGACTGAAAGTAGAGGGTTGACCCCTGGGCACGGGCACTGGATCCCCACATCTTCCCTCCAGAGGGAGGGAGGCACCCTACAGCCCAGGAGGGGCCCCGCAGCTGCGCCAAAGGGCGATCACAGGCAGAGTGTGTGCGCAGCTGGGGAAACTGAGGTCCAGCCCGCGCGTCCCCGCAGGTTCGCGCAACACGGCCGCGCTGCTGTTCGGCGAGCGGAGCGCCGAGCGGGCGGCGCGGCTGCGGACGCCCCTGCCCGAGCTTGGGGCGCTGACGGCCTGCGCGCACGTGCAGTGGGACGCCGCCTCGCCCGACCCGGCCGCGCTCTTCTCCCTCGCCGTGCCCGCGCAGGCCAACGCGCTGCAGCTGCGCGCCTTCGCCGAGCCGGGCGGCACCGTGCGCGCCGCGCTCGTGGTGCGCGGTCACCACGCGCCCTTCCTCGCCGCCTTCCGCGCCGACGGCCGCTGGCACCACGTGTGCGCCACGTGGGAGCAGCGCGGCGGGCGCTGGGCGCTGTTCGCTGACGGGCGGCGGCGCGCCGGGGCGCGGGGACTGGGCGCGGGCCACCCGGTGCCCCCCGGCGGCATCCTGGTGCTGGGCCAGGATCAGGACTCTCTGGGCGGAGGCTTCTCGGCGCGGGACGCCTTCAGCGGCAACCTCACCGACTTCCACCTGTGGGCCCGGGCGCTGAGCCCCGCGCAGCTTCATCGCGCGCGGGCGTGCGCGCCGCCCCCCGGCGGCCTGCTCTTCCGCTGGGACCTGGGCGCCCTGGACGTCACGCCCTCGCTGCTCCCGCCCGTGCGGGTGCGCCTTCTCTGTCCGGGTACGGCCCCGCCCTGCCCTGGCCTGCCTTTTGGCTCAATGCCCCGCCCCCTGGCTCCCGTAAGCTCCCTTCTGACCTCCGGAGCCAGCCCGCCCCTTGCCAGCCGGGCCCCGCCCAGCTCTGGCCACGTTGCCTCCTGGTGGCTTGAGTGGGCTCGTCCCTGGCTGGGTTGCTCCTCCCGGTGCTGGCTGCAGTGCCCATCTCCCAGGTTCCCACGTCGTCCCCTAACTCGAGGGCTGTGCGTCCTGGCGCCCCTTCAGGAGTGAGGGCGTCTTCAAGGCCCCAAGGGGCGGTGGCTGACGGGGACCTCTGGGGAGTCAGGGTGCGGCCCTGACACCTCCCCCACTCCGTCAGTGCCCTCAGAGGAGTGCCCTACGTGGGACCCAGGACACCGCACCGAGGGCTCTTCGCTCTGCCTGCAGCCACGGCCCTTCCTCTGCTGCTACCGGACAGGTGCACGCCGGAGGTGCCCCCGGAGCGGTGCTGAAGGGGAAGCCGGGTATGGTCCAGTGTAGGCTGAGGGGGAGTGAGCACTTGGCACAGCCTGGGAATTCAGAATCTTCTCGGAGCCTTAGGGTCTTCACGAAGTCTAGACCACAAGACAATGGGGCCAGACAGACCTGGGGGTGAATCCCAGCTGTGTGACCTTGGACAAGTGCTTTTGCCATCCTGTGCCTCAGTTTCCCTATCAAAACACTGGGTGTAAGCCTCCAGATACACAGCCATCAATGTGCTCTTCCTCCCCTGGGCAGCACAGGGGGCGTGGGGCACCTCTGGTCAGAGTGTTGCCTAGGGCACAGCCTGGCATCCACTTTTCTGCAGAGACCTATCGGCAGCTGCAGGACGCCCAGTCATGGCCTGGCCAGGACGTTATCAGCCGAGTCAATGCCTTGGCCAACGCCATTGTGGTGAGCCCCCTGTCCCCCAGGAGGCTGGAGAGTCTGGGGGCACCATGGGTCACCTTCCTGTATCTGAGTTTCCTCACCTGTAAGGGGACACTCACCTAATGTGTCTGCATGAATTTCGGAACCCTTGAGAGCCAGGAGCTTGTGACAAGTTAGACCCACACCCACCAAGAAGATCCTGGCAGAGCCCAAGTGTGGCCCCTGGGGGGGTCCCCTCGTGACAGCCACACCAACAGTCAGCAGCTCCTCTGCCCACAGCTCCTCCCTGACCTCCTCTCTGAAGTCGGCGGAGACCTGTCCCTGGCTGAGGCCTCCAGCTTTCTGAGTATCCTGGAGGGAGTCCTGGCAGAGGAGGCAGCTCCTCTGGGGCCGGCGGCACTTCTGGCTGTCGTGCACTTTCTGAAGAGGGTGACGGCCCTCGGGGCTGGGGAGCCAGATCCCTGGATAGGGCCCTGGGAGCAGCTGGGACGAGGCGTCATGTCTGTGGCCAGCCTGGTCCTGGAGGAGCAGCTGGCTGGGGCATGGCTGTCCGTCAGCGAGGTGAGGCTGGCAGGGTTGGGGCGTGGCTGCCCGTCAGAGAGTGAGGCTGGCAGGGCTGGGGCATGGGGGGCTGGGGTCTGGGTCCAACCTTGCCACCGGCTTATTGTGTCAGGACCCATCGCTGGGGTCCCCCCTCCTTCCATCAGGAGAAGCTCCTCTTTTGTCTCTTTTGTAAAGTGAACTTCCACATACAACTGCTCTGGAACAACAGCTTCTGCAGTTAAAAATTATTAGGAGCCACTGATCAGTAAAGGCCTCCCCCATATCCAAGAATCTGCCACCCACTTTAAGTGGGAGGTCCTCTGTGCCGAGTCTTCAGACAAAACAGCCCAGACGCTGGACAACGTGAGAGATGCTCTCCAGATGGGGAGGGTGTGGGAACGATCCTGGCAGAAGTGGCTGTAGGCCTGGGAGTGACCAGCCCAGAGAAGGGAGAGAACAAAGGGTCATGGACATTGCCTGCAGATTTCTGGGGCTGAAGGAGCAGACATGGTCCCCCTGTGGCCTCAGAGGACAGGACTGGGAGCCGGGCTTTGGGCTAGGGTGGCGATGACCCAACCCTGGTTCCATGGAATGGTTCGCCTGTCCAGGTGGCGAGCTCCCCATCCTGGGAAGGGTGTAAGCCCATGTTTGAGTGGGGATCTGAGGCACCGTGGTGGATGGGGAAAAGCTGGACTCTGAACCTCAGTTTTCTTCCCTGGAGAAGGGGGATTATCACCCTGCCTTGCCTAGGCAACAGACAGGAGTAAATGGGCCAATCGGCAGCCTCGCCCAGCACAGAGAAGGTGTCCTGTTCATACGTGTCCTCCCCTCGCTGTTCTGTCCTCACCCCGCACATGGCTTGCCTTTTGGAATCTGGAAGTTGAGCAGCTGTTACAGGTCTGGCGCTGAGTGGGACCAAAGAAGGGGGCATGGCCCTGCCTTCAGAGTGCGCCCCGGCTGGCAAACCACCGGCTAGCAGGCACAGCGTGCCATGAGGCCTTCCTCCCAACTAGAGGATGACGTGGCTTAGGAGAGGGTTGCAGAGGTCCGAGAAGGCTGATGAGGCAAGGCCTCAGCGCCAGCTTGGGGACCCAGGGTTTGATCCCAGAGACCCGAAGGAGCCACTGAGGGTCTGGAGCAGGCAGCCCCCTCACAGACCGTGGAGTGTGTGTTAGCCCCAGCGGTCATGGCGGGCAGCTGTGGGGCGTGGAGTGTGAGAGGCAGCTGAGGTGCGGCTTCCTCCCAGGTGGTTGGGGGCCCCATGGCCCTGGTGGTGAGTGTGCAGCGCCTGGCACCCCTGCTGAGCACCGTGCTGACCTCCGAGCGACCCCAAGTGCACATCCAGCACCGCCATGCCGGTGAGCCTGCGGCCACCCGTCCCACACAGCTGGGCTCTGGGTGGGGCCTGGCCCAGACATCTCTCCTCAGCCCTGGTCCCTGGGAGCTCTCTGCACAGATGCTCCATTCTGTTTCCTGCCTTTGCCCATGCTGTGCCCTCCATCCAGAATGCCCTTTTTCCCTTGACCTCCCAGCAAACGCCTATATATCCTTCAGAACCCTACTTGAGCATCACTCTTCTAGGAGGGCTTCCCAGGTTTTGGCTCTCTCCTGACAGTCAGTTCCTCCCTCTGTTACCCCAGTGTCTTGAGCATAACTCTTGTTGCATTTGTGCTGATTACGTCATTCAGCCTAAGCTCCCTGAGTGCCAGGGCTGTTTCTGAGTCATTTCTGCATCTCAGGGCCACACCAAGTACACACTCAGTGACCGTTTATAGATTGAATGGGGGAGCACTTACGGTGGAACTTCAGGCAGAACTTTTTTCCTTCAGGCACCTAGTGGTTTCTGGTGGCTTATAGATATTCAGGTCCTGCTCCCCAGTGACCCCCCTTCTCAGTGACCCCTTCCCCTGGACTTGGAGAAGTCAGCATTCCTTGGGCAAGTTGCTGAACCTCTCTGAGCAGGAATAGTGGCCCCCTAGACCTGTCGTAGGGGGTGGGGGAGCAGACCCTGCCAGCTGGGCCAGCTCAGCAGAAAGACCCCCCTCCTGAGGTCCAGCCACACAGCCGCCTTTGACCCCAGGCCTGGAGGTGCGGAGCCTACGCTTGAGGGAGGCCAGCTCCGAGGACTTCATGTTCACGATGCCCGGTGGGCGTCCACGCGGGCCCGGCCACATCCACATCCCCGCGGGCGAAGTGAGGCGGCTCCTAGAGCAAGGTGGGTGAGGCGCTGGTGGGGCCCCGTTGGGGTCTGGGTCAACTGTCCCTCTCTCAGGGGCTGCTCTGCTGCTTTTAATAGGTCTCCTTTCAGAGCCTGTGTCCTCGTCTGTAATTGTCACATTAGTACTCGCCTTGTGGGTTGTTACCCGGTGAAAAGCAGCCACCGTGTAGTAGGTGTCCACTTAGTCTCCTCCTGGAACCCCACACCTTTCCTCTCGGTGCCACCCAGGGGCAGAGCATTAGGACAAGGGCCAAAGGGCTTTGGAGCTTTGGGGGTTGAATCCGTGAACTATAGCTGGTTGGAATTCTGGCTCTGCCACTTATCAGCTGTGTGATCTTTGGGAAGTCATTTAACCTCTGTGAACCTCAGTTTCCCTCTCTGTAAGGTGGGCAGAGCATCTCCCTCGGGGCCAACATGTGGTGCTTGTTCAGTCACTGGGTGGGGTCTTGGGCCCCCTCCCACTTGGCCAGGCCTCTCTGGAGTCACCGTGGTCCACAGCTGGTTCAGCTCCGGTGTCTTCCAGCACCCCCTGGGGGCGCCTGGCCTGGAGCCCCAGACCCCCGATAGCTCAGAAGAGGCCAGCAGGATGCAGAGGTGAGTGGGCCCCACCCAGTAGGCTGCTGAGGGCCTGGATCCCCTCCCCAGGGAAGGCCAGGCCTCCGTCCCCTCCCAGAGGCCCCACTCTGGTGGGCAAATCTGCCCTTAGCAGCCCAGGGCCCCTCGCCCCTGACACACACACACATTTCTGCGTCTGCTGGTGGGGACATGGCTCACATCCTCCCTGGGGTCCTGGCTTCAGTGTTGAGACTCGGTGAGGGAATGGGGCTTACTCAAATTACCAGCCAGTCCCCAGGGCAAGACTGGGACCCAGGTGTCCTGGTTCCCAGCACAGGACGTTTCCTAATGTTTCTTTGGACACAGAGGGTGTCATCTCCTCCACACACACCTGGATGAGATGACCCCAGCCATGCATGACCTCTCCCCTATAGCCAGCTTGTGCCCTTAAAAGCTCTCCTTCTCCCCACAGATTCCTAAGCACCCAGGTGGGGTCAGCCATCATCTCCTCTGAGGTGTGGGATGAAGCTGGGGAGGTCAACACAGCCGTGACCTTTCACCTGCAACACCAGGCCCAGGTACCGGGTGATGCTTCTGGGAAACAGCCATTCCAGTAGAGGTGTCCTGGTTTGGTCTCCCCCCACCTCCCAATATTTGTTCATTGGATAACAAAGGTCCAAAAATGTTTGAGGAAAATACTCATCCACAAGCCATCCCATTGTCCACAAGGGAGGGGGAAGGCAAGTAACGCATTGCACACATACTTCATGTCAGGTTTCTTAAATAAGCAGCATTTGGTTAATCCTCCAGCTGCCCATTCCTCATAGGCAGAAGGTGAGCTTGGGAGAGGTGCTGAGTCTGGCCCCAGCTTGGAAATGGTAGAGCTGGGGTTCCATTGTAGGTCTGCGTGACTCGAAAAACTGGTGGTTCCCACTGGAACATAGAGGGAGATGTGCAGAGGCCAGCACTGCCACGTGCTTCAGAAGAGTAAAAATAACCTAGATGTCCATCTATAGGGGATTACTTAAAAAGCCATGAGAGCTACACAATGGAGTAGTCAGCTGAAGTTTCATAAGGGAAGAGGTATTTTGCTGTAAACTGACATGGAAAGATCGCCAAGACATGTTGTTTAATTCATTATATGTAATATACAAATTCCTTTTTGCTTTTGAATCTCTAGAACATTTCGAGGAAAGCCAAAGTCTCCCTTGCTCACAACTACTAATCCTGGACACACACACACACACACACATACATACACCCACTCCCCACACATACACCCCCTACAGCTTATCAGTCTTTTGTATATCATCCCAAGACTTTTTAAAAATCAACTTGATTGAAGTATATAAATCTACATACACTAAAACATCCATTTTAAGGATACAACTTGATGGGTTTTGACCAGCGTGTATGCTCATGTACCACTGCCCCAATCAACTTCTAGAGCATTCCATCTTCCCAAAAGGCTTCTTCATGCCCCCTCCCCATCTGCCTTCCTCGCGCTGACCCCAGGAAATCAGTGATCTGCTTTCTGTGACTGTAGATTATATCTGTCTTTTCTAAAGTTTCATGCAAATGGAATCATAGCGTGTGCCGTGGTCTGGCTTCTTTTGCTCAGATGGTGTTTTTGACAGTCATGCGTGCTGTTGCCTCTTTCTATAGTTGGCTGCTCTTTGCTGCTGGGCAGAATTCCATATATGGATGTACTGTGATTTGTTTTTCCATTTACCTGTTGATGGAGATTTGAGTTGCTCCCATTTGGGGCCATTATGAATAAATCTGCTATGAACACTCATATAAAGTGTTTTTGTGGACATATGATTTCTTTCTATCCAGGAAATACCTAAAAGTGGACTTTCTGGGTTGTATGATAAGTGTATGTTTAACTTCCTAAGAGACTGTCAAACTGTCTTCCAAAGTGGTTATACCATCTTACATTCCCACCAGCAGTGGAGGAGTGTTCCAGCTGTTCCACAGCTTTGCCAACATCCTTATCTGTCTGGTTTGTTTGTTTGTTTGTTTGTTTGTTTTGCAGGGGAAGATTGGCCCTGAGCTAACACCTGTTGCCAGTCTTCCTCTTTTTTTTTCTTCCTCCCCAAAGCCCCAGCACATGGTTGTGTATCCTAGTTGTAAGTCCTTCTAGTTCTTCTGTGTGAGCTGCCACCACAGCATGGCAGCTGACAAACTGGTAGTGTGGTTCCACAACTGGAAAATGAACCTGGGCTGCCGAAGCAGAGCGCACCAAACTTTAACTATTAGACCATCAGGGCTGGCTCCTTGTCTGTCTTTTTAATGTCATTTATTATAATGGCTGTGTATTCATACCTCATTGTGGTTCTAAGTTACAATTCCTTAAAGACCAATGATTTTGAGCATCTTTTTCTACACTTACTGTGCATTCATATATCTTCCTTTGTTAAATGTATGTTAAATCTTTGCCCCAATTTTTAAAAATTTAATTAAAAAAATTTTTCAAGAAGAGCCACCAGGTTCTTTTTTTTTTATGGGAAATATTGTTTATTCTTTTTTCCCCCAAAATTTACACATTCGCCTGCTATTTGCTCTTCTGATTACTGACATTTCTCCAAGTGAACTATATGGATCTTCTCTTTATCTATTTATTTATTTTATTCTTTTTATCTTTTGACCCCCTTTACCCATTTCTCCCGTCCCCCACCACCCACCTCTGGCAATCACCAATTTGTTCTCTGTATCTACAAGCTGGTTTTTGTTGTTGTTATGTGTTCCACGTGTAAGAGAGATCATATGGTTTTGTCTTTCTCTTTCTGACATTTCATGTAGCATAATGCACTCGATGTCCATCCATGTTGTTGTGAGTGGCGAAATTTCATTCTTTTTTATGGCTGAATGACATTCTATTGTGTATACCACATTTCCTTTATCCATTCCTCCGTCAGTGGCCACTCAGGTTGTTTCCATATCTTGGCTATTGTAAATAGTGCTGCAGTGAACACAGGGGTGCATATATCTTTTCGAGTTAGTGTTTTCATTTCCTCTGGATAAATACCCGGAGGTGGAATTGCTGGATCATATGGTATTTCTATTTTTAATTTTTTGAGGAACCTCCATACTGTTTTCCGTAGTGGCTGCACCAATTTACATTCCTACCAACAGTGCACAAGGGCTCCCTTTTCTCACCAACATTTGTTATTTCTTGTCTTTTTGATAAAAGCCATTCTAACAGGTGTGAGGTGACATTTCATCGTGGTTTTGATTTGCATTTCCCTGAGGATTAGTGATGTTGACCATCTCTTCATGTACCTGTTGGCTATCTGTACATCTTCTTTGGAAAAAGTCTAATCAGATCTGCTCATTTTTTTAATCGGATTGTTTGTTTTTTGCTATTGAGTTGTATGAGCTCTTTATATATTTTGGATATTAGCCCCTTGTTATATATAGGATTTGCAAATATTTTATCCCATTCAGTAGGTTGCCTTTTCATTTTGTTGATGGCTTCCTTTGCTGTGCAGAAGCTTTTTAGTTTGATGTAATCCCACTTGTTTATTTTTGCTTTTGTTTCTTTTGCTTTTGGTGTCAGATTCAAAAAATCATTGCCAAGACCTATGTCAAGGAGCTTCCCACCTATGTTTTCTTCTAAGAGTTTTATGATTTCAGGTCTTACATTCAAGTCCCTAATCCATTTTGAGTTCATTTTTGTATATGGTGTAAGATAGTGGTCCAGTTTCATTCTTTTGCACGTGGCTGTCCAGTTTTCCCAGTGTCATTTATTGAAGATACTGTCCTTTCCCCATCGTGTATTCTTGGCTCCTTTGTCGTAAATTAATTGACCATATATGTGTGGGTTTATTTCTGGGCTCTCTATTTTGTTCCATTGATCGATGCATCTATTTTTATGCCAGTGCCATACTATTTTGTTTGCTCTAGCTTTGTAATATTGTTTGAATCAGGGAGCGTGTTGCTTCCAACTCTGTTCTTTTTCAAAATTGCTTTGGCTATCCTAGGCGCTTTGCATTGCCATATCAATTTTAGAATCAGCTTGTCACTGTCTGTAGGGATCTTAATTGGGATTGCATTGAATCTCCCGAATTGAAGTAAGATGATAACCTGGCATCTTAACAGTGAGCCCTCCAATCCACGGTCAAGGTATATCCCTCTGCGTATTTAGAGTATTCTTGTATTATTCTGCGTATTCTTGACTCTCTCAGCAGTGATATGTAGGTTTCAGTGTATAGGTTTTATATTTCGTTAGATAGATCCGTAAGTACTCCATAGTTTGGGATGTTATCATAAATGGTGTTGTTTTCTTAATTAAATTTTAAATTGTTCATTACTGGTGTATAGTAATACAGTTGATTTTTATATAATGACCTTGAATCCTGCAACCTTCCTGAACTCTCTCACTACTTCCAGAGCTCTCTTATGGAGTCCTTAGGATGTCCTACGTACCAATTGTATTATCTGCAAGTGAAGACAGTTTTGTTTTCTCCTTTCTAATCTGTGTCTTCTTTTCTCTTCCTTCCTTGGTTCAGTGGCTAGGACCTCTAGCTCAGTGTTGAATGGGAGTGGTGAGACCACACATCTTTGTCTCATCCCCCACCTCAGGGGGAAAGGCTTTAATCACTAGGTCTTTAATCACTAAGTGTGATGTTCGCTGTGGGCGTTTCGTAGATGCCTCTTAGCAGATTAAGTTCCCTTCTCTTCCTGCTTTGCTGAGAATTTTTATCACGAGTGGCTGTTGAGTTTTACCAAATGCTTCTTCCACACTGATATGATCATATGGTTTTCTCTTTTATTCTGTTTATATCATAAATTGTGTTGATTGATTTTTAAATGTTCAATCAACCTTGGATTCCTGAAATAAACCCCACTTAGTTTTGGTGTATGGTCCTTTGTATATATGACTGGATTCAATTTCCTAATACGTCTTAAGGATTTTTATGTTTGTGTTCATGAGTAATGTGTTCTGTGGTTTTCTTACACTATCTTCCTGTGGTTTTCTTACGCTATCAGATTAATACTGACCTCATAAAAGGGGTTGAGAAGTATCCTCTCCTCCTCTGTTTTCTGAAAGAGTTTTACAGGATTAGTATTATTTCTTCCTTAAATGTTTGATAGGCCACTGAAGACCAGTGACGTCTTTTGGGTCTGGCATTTTCTATATGGGAAGATTTTGAAGTATGAATTCTATTTCTTTAATTGATATAGAGTTATTGGGTGTTTTATTTCTTCTTGAGGTGGTTTTGGTAATTTGTGCCTTTCAAGGAATTTATCCATTTTTTCCAGGTTTTCAGGTTTCTAGCATAAAGTTGTTCATAATATTCACTCATTATCCTTTTAACATCTGTAGGATCTGTAGTGATGTTCGCCTTTTCAATCTTGATCAGTCTAGCTAGTTTACCAATTTTGTTTATATTTTCAAAGAACTAACTTTTGAGATTATATTTATATATGAATTATATGATTTTAAATACATTAAAATGAAAAATAAATAAAAGTAATGGATTGCTCATTGTGGCAAATTTGGAAAATGTAGAAAAGGATAAAGAAGACAACATCCTATGACCCAGAGATGGCTGCTGTGAACATTTTGGTGAATTTCCCTTCAGCCTTTTTCTGGGTACATAATGCTATATATATTTTTTCCTTTTGCAAAATCAAAACCCTTGCTCTCTCAACTGAGCCACGTGAACATGTATGTTCTTCGGTTTGCCTGCAGGCGTTTTCTGCGTTGTCTCAGTCACGTCCCTCAGTGATGTCCCTCTGCCCCCCTGTCCTTTCTCACTTGCTGCTTGATCCCAGCACATGTAGGTCTTGACTGCAGCCAGGTCCAGAACCTGCACCTTCTTGGGGGGTGGTCCAAAATGAAACTGACCCCCTCCCAGTCGTGCAGCCAGAGCATCTGCAGTTTTTTCTATTACAGTAAACCCTGCCTCGGCCTTTGAAAGTCCTCACTCATAGCACATTTTGATTTTGGTGACTATGTCTTGGGGACATACAGGTGTACGGGCAGGTGTGGGGTTGCTGGACACAGGTAGTTTTGTGACTTTTGAGTGTACAGCTGCATTTATATTTCAATTTGTACCACTTGAAAGTGCTACCAGTGGTGTCATAATCATCCATTTAAAAAGTGAACACAGGTTTTGTGTTCCCAGCACCTCACATAGCACCTGGGACCCAGGAAAAATATTGTGAATGAATTAATCCATGGGATGATAATTCAGTCAACCCAAGAAATGATGTGTCCTCTGGATGCACCATCACAGAGCTGTGGAAAGAGCATAGAGCTGAGTCAGTCTCCACTCTATGCTGTGTGATCAGGAGCAGATTAATTCCCCTCTCTGAGGCTCAGTTTCCTCATCTGAAATTACATGAATTTATAGCCGTCTCCTAGGTTGCTGTGAAGATCAACGATAATAAAGGAAATGAAGGACATGACACAAAGTGTCATATTCTAGTGGGGTGACATTGCTGTTACCCTCGCCAGTTGGGACAAACAACCTAAATCCCAAGCTCAGGCAGCCTTCTCTGCCTGGACTGGGGCTGGTACTCCTGGCCGCTGACATTTCCTTACTGCTATGACGTCTTATGAAATCTGTATTGTTGTTGTTGTTTAACCATCATTAAGTTAGCTGTGTGTTTGATTCCAGACCTTTCATGCATGTTTTCACAATTAATAGACCTTTTTTTTACATAATTGGCCTCATATTCTGCATAATGATGTATAGCTGTTTTGTTTACCGAACAGCCTATGGCAGAGCTCTCTCCCCACCGGTAGGTAGAGACCTGTCTGTTCATCTCACCAGGTGCAGAGCATCCCAAAGAGGGAACAGTTGCAATGGTTTAACTGCTCCCCGGAGGATGGACATCTAGCTTGCTCCCACTATTTCCATGTTACACCTAATGCTAGTGAGACAGTCTACTCTCCTCACCTTCCCTCTGCCTCCCCACTGGCGTTTTCTCCAGCCCCTTCACCCATCACCCATGCTAGGCAACCCCCTGGCCCCTCAAATGTGGGAGGCCTCAACGTCCCCCTGCATCCTTCTGGTCTCTCTCTCCTTCCCCACACACACTCACACACCTGCCCTGTCCCTGTTTCCTGCCCCTAGACCTTTCCTCAGAAGCTGGTGGAGCCTCTCTGTGCCTTCTGGAGCTTCAGCATCAGGTGAGTTTCCATTTCCAAGTTCTTTAAATAAGGCAATTTGGCTTTTTTAAAGACATCCATTCTGCTTGAGGATGAGGCAGGACTCAGGTGTGTTTTTGGCCTTCATTCACCAATAGGCTTGCAGGGGGTGGCTTCAGGCCCCACCCAGCTCCAGGACAAGCTGGGGCAGGAGAATCTGTTACCCAGGAGGTAGTGAGCTCCCCATCATGATAGATATGCAAGCTCACTCTGGGGGTGTCTAAGAAGAGACTCACCTTTCAAATGGGTGTTGGACTTGATGATATATCCAAGGCCAGGGCCCCAAGGCATTTGAGGGGGCAGAGGAAGGTTCAGGGATGAGCCCAGCTCTGCCTTGGATCTTCAGCTGAACGTCAGTCATTTGCTTAGTAATTAATGCAGTTAATCCGTGGTCTTCACTGGTATTAGCCCCATCCTCCTGCCATCCCTGAGAGTGTTAAGTACGTTTTACAGATGGGAAACTGAGGCCCAGGGAGGGGACAAGACTTGCCCAAGGTCACACAGCTGGTTAGAGGCAGGGCAGTGATGGACCTTAAGCTTTGGAGAGAGGCTTTCCCCTGCTTGCCGCCTGCCCCCCACCCCATGTCTGGCCCATCTCAAGAGCCCTTCTGTTCCCTCCCCACCCTCAGTCCAGACTCAGGGGGCTCCTGGGCCACTGCTGGCTGCTCTGTGGCTGCGCTGTACCAGGGCTCCACCGCCTGCTTCTGCAACCACAGCACCAACTTCGCCATCCTGCTGCAGGTGTACGACGTCCAGGTGAGTGCCAGGGGTGGGGTGATGTCAGAGCCAATCTTAAAGGATGCACAGGAGCCGAGCAGAAAGGCAGAGGGGAAGCATTCCAAGCAGAGGGCCCGTCTGAGCACAGGCAAGGAGGCTAGACACAGCATGGCAGACTTGTCACTTCCTCGAGCTTTGCTGTGTCTCAGCTTCTAATGCAGGCCCAGGAGTGGAGGGGGATGGGAGGCAAGGTGGGCACGGGTCAGATCACACAGGGCCTGGAATGCCAGGCTCGGCACAGGGCAAGTGTTAGATTTGCCCGGAGGGAGCCCTCTGGTGCCGGGGTGAGGCTGGCGTGGAAAGAGCAGGGAGGGGTCCTGGCCTAGGCAGACCAGAGGGGCCCTGGACCAGGGCACAGTGGGGAGACGAGGAGACTGGACCCAGGGAGGAGGAGGGGGATGGTCCAGGATAAAGGCCTGGGCAACTGGGGGCTGAGGGACTAGTCTCCGGGGGGCACAGGTGGGTAGCAGGTTTGGGCGGGCCACAAGTCTGCGGGGCGTGGGGTCTCTGGCTCTGCTGTTTGGGGCAGGAGGGCTCTCGGCTGGAGATGGAGAGCCAGCAGGTAAAGCCGTGGCCGAATGAGGTTCTTGTAGAAACCGAGCCTGGACATTTTGGCATGTCATGAACAATCCACGACAGCTCTGTGGTCCCCCCACCCTTGAAAATGCCCTCCCCATAGATATGTCAGTCGTTTCCAATCTCGTGCCCTTAATAGCTGTTGAATCAGTGAAAACTGGGCCGACTGGGGCCAGTTTAGGGGGAGCCAGCAGGAGAGGACATGCAAACACTTATTAAGTGCCTGCTGTATGCAGGCCTGGCCTGGCGGTGTGTTCTCATCCCTCCTCCACTGCAGAGCAGGAGGCTGGGGGAGACTTGCCGAGTGGGTGTGGCACCTGTGCTGGTCAGGTCAGGGTGGCGACAGGGTCACTACATTCCAGGGTCTCTGTCCCTCCCACAGAGAGGCCCCGAGGAGGAGTCGCTGCTGAGGACGCTCTCCTTTGTAGGCTGTGGTGTGTCCTTCTGTGCCCTTGCCACCACCTTCTTGCTGTTCCTGGCGGTCAGGTGAGGCGAGCACACCACAGCGACCTGGCATCCTGGGCCCAGCCTGCCCCTCGTGGGCCTCCTGGGACCGGTGTCCATCCTTGATCCCAGCAGACCCTGGTCCAGGCCTCCCCCAGGGCTGTGGGCCCCCTGTGGAGCTGCCCTCCCTGCCTTCATTAGCCTGTCCACAGAGCCCCCTGGCAGGAAGGGGCTGATGGAGGGTGGGGGCTGGCGGTGGGGTCCTTGTTAACTGACTCCACTGCCTGTCCAGGGTCCCCAAGTCGGAGCGAGCCACGGTCCACAAGAACCTCACTTTCTCCCTGGCCTCCGCCGAGGGCTTCCTCATGGCCAGCGAGTGCGCCAAGGCCAACAAGGTGGGTGGCCAGTGGGTGAGCTTGTGGGCTTATGGGGGCCTGGGAAAGCACCTTCAGCCTTTTCTGGGTTGCCCATTCCCAGGCTTCACTTGGCTCCATTTCCCAGGAGGAGGAAGGCCCAGAGAGGAAAGGCCCAGAAGGTTGGAGCTGGGCCTAGGACACCGCAGGAGACCTGACCCACTGATAGCTCTCTGGGTTGGCAATGCCAGGCCTGGGCATGGGACCCAGCGCACGGCTGCCTCCATGGCTGGCCTCAGTGGGTATCCCCACCCTCCCACCCACAGGTGGCGTGTGTGGCCATCACCGCTGCGATGCACCTCCTCTTTTTGGTCGCATTCTCCTGGATGCTGGTGGAGGGACTGCTGCTGTGGAGCAAGGTGGTGGCCGTGAGCATGCGCCCCGGCCCCAGGATGCCGCTCTACTACGCCACCGGCTGGGGTGAGGCCCCTCTGCTCCCCATCTTGTCTGTCCTCCTCAACTCTGCCTTGCATGGCCTCCACAGCCACCTGACACCACCCTACCCCCAACATCACCTGGAGCCCAGCACCCAAGTCTGACACAAGCTCAGTTTCCTCAGCTCCATCAACCTGCAGCGCGACCCAGTCCTTAATCCTCCTCCACGTCAGCTGCTTCACGTCCCCACTCCAGCGCCGTCTCCCTAATCTGTGACCAGCCGACCCCCATGCCAATCGCCAACCTCCACCTCCGTTGATTCCCAATCCTGAGCCCTCGACTCAACCCCAGCAGATCCACTCCCCAACTACTTGGGGCTTCAATGCCACCCCAAAAGTATGAGGCCCTCCCAACCCTGCTCCCCAGATCTCCCAGTGCCACCAGTACACCTGCTACCACAGGACAGCTGTGGGCTAAATCTCTAGGGAAGCTGGGTCCCGAAGAGGACAGAATGGGTGGCATGGTCCTGAGGTCACTTCTTCTTCCCCTAGGTGTGCCTGTGGCCATCGTGGCCATCACCCTGGCCATATCCCCCCATGACTACGTGGCCCCTGGGCACTGCTGGCTCAATGTGCACACAGACACCATCTGGGCCTTTGTGGGGCCCGTGCTCTTCGTGCTGACTGTGAGCGGGGAGGCCTGGGGGCCTGGAGGGGAGGGATGTGTCGGGGGCAGGGGGAGGCCCTTTTGCCCACTGACACCAGGTCTCCAGGCCAACACCTGCATCCTGGTCCGTGTGGTGATGGTCACCGTGTCCAGTGCCCACCGCCGTGCCCGCATGCTGAGCCCACAGCCCTGCCTGCAGCAGCAGATCAGGATCCAGATATGGTGAGGCCTGAGATTGGGGGAGTCAGGAAGACGTGGGGGAGCCGGTGTGAGTCCATGGTGGGTGGGTGTGGCCACGTGGCCATGTGTGCTCATGGGTATAAGGCTATAGATGAACATGTGTGCACATGTCCCTGCTTGTGTGTGCATGTGTGCTCATGTGTGTGGATGTGTGTAAGCATGTGCCCATTCATGTCATGCGTGGGGATGGTCATTGATCTCGTGTGTATGTGGGGGTGGGGTATAGACACCAGCCACTGTCCTAGAGGCTCACCGTCTACAAAAGGTACTGATGGCCTAGTGGGGACAAGGAGGGGACACCCTCAAATCAGGCAGTCCCAGAAGTTCAGGTTCAGAGTGAGGATCTAGGTCCCTCTTCCTGCCGAGAATCCTCATCGGTCTCCAGGGCTTCCTCTCCCCAACCACCATCCTCTGCCAAGGGCAGGGCAGCCCAGCCAATGGGTCCCTGAAAAGCCAGGGAGCCCCAGGGGTCCTTGAGGGGCAAGAGGAAGCCCCCCTGACTCCATGGCCCCTGGACTCGCTGCTCAGGCCTCGGCCCTGCCTCTGGGCAGCTGCCACTCCCTTCCTTTGAGCCAGGTTTGGGACTGGGACCCCATCATCTCCCCAGGGCCACATCCCCTACTTCATGCCACTTCTGGGTCTTTGAGAAGGGGCAGCCACGTCCAGCCGAAGGTTCCAGCTACACATGAGTCCTGAGCCATGGTTCCTGGGGTGCAGCTCTGGCTCTTCTCCAGGCATTTCCAAGGAGCTGCTCCCCCAGACCCCTGCAGGGAGCTCCCAGGCCCCCCGGCCTCCCTCAGCCCCTGCTCTCCCACAGGGCCACGGTGAAGCCGGTGCTGGTCCTGCTGCCCGTCCTGGGCCTGACCTGGCTGGTCGGCATGCTGGTGCACCTTGGCCCGGCCTGGGCCTATGCCGCCGTGGGCCTCAATTCCTTCCAGGTACCTCCAGGCCTGGGCCGTCTGGGACTGGGGCTCAGACACTGGGACTTTGTCAGGAGGAGGGGGCGGGGCGTGGGAACAAAACCTCAAATCAAAGAGCAGGCCATCAGGAGATGGTGTGGCCCCTTTGACAGCCGAGGAAGCGGAGGCCCAGAAAGGGGATCATGAAGATCCCTGGTGCCCTGACACTCAAGGCGCGGCAGAAGCTCCAGCCTCTGGCCGGTGTGGAGCCACCAGGCCAGGGGTGCAGGACACCGGTGCCCTCTCCCCTTGGGGTCTGTGGGTGGCCTCCTGAGGGCAGCAGGAGCTGGTCCAGTGGTGAGGACAACACTTTAGAAGAGGGCTTGGTTCCGAGGACAATGCTCGACCCACGTAAATGACGCAGTAGCAGTAGGACTGCTGTGTTCCTGTCGGCTCCTGTGTCCTGGAGCCACACAGATGGGTCAGACTAGTCCCTGTCCTCAGTGGCTTTGCACATCTGTAGGTGACCTGGACATGGACACAGAGGGCCACAGCCCAGGGGGCTGAGTGCGGGGAGGGAGGGAGGTCCAAGGAGGGCCCTCCCTGCCCCTGCCTGGCCCCTCGGGCTCCCTTGCCCCCCAGCACCTCTTCCCGTCATCAGCACCCACCACACTTAGCTCTCCCTTCTCGGTGCTGAGAAATGGTATGACCCAGGGATGGACAAAGACAAGCTCAGGAAATCACGTGCAAACTCCATGTAGGGTCTGTGTGTCCTCAGAGCTGGGCCTCCTGGGGACCTTCCATCCTGTCTGCAGAGAAGAGGGGCTGAGGCCGTGACAGCCACTTAGGACCCCTGGGTGCTCTGAGCCCTTGGCCAGGCGCACTTTATATCTCTGAACAGCCTTACAAGTGGGGACACTGAGACCCCACGAAGACACTTGCCTCACAGTAGGAGGGAGCAGCCCTGGGGCCCGAGTCCAGAGTCTGTGTTCTCGGCCATCGGATGTACAGCCTTGACCACAGAGGGACCTGGCTAGTTCCTGGGAGAGCTGCCGAGGCTGGAGGGGGCTGGGGTGGGCAGGCACCCTGACCCAGTTATTCATCCAGCTCTGAAATATCTATTGAATGGTCATTCTGAGCCAGGCACTGTTCTAGGCGCTGGGGACACGGCAGCAAAGGAGGCTGCAATACGCCCTGTTCTCGTGGAGCTGCCCTGAGCGGGGAGGCAGACCAGGACCAAGAGAGGGAGAGAGGAGCTTGGGGAGAGAAGAGGCAGGAGCGGGGAGGGTGTTGACCGCCAGGGTCCTGGCCCATGTTGTCTTCTCCCCCGGGGCCTTAGGGACTTGCCACCCTCTGCCAGACATGCGTGGGCATGGACAGAGGAAAGAAAGGGGACACTGCTGGGAGGATGGAGGTCGTCCCCCGAGAGGGGCCCAGAAAATGAAGAACAACTGGGGTTCCAACACTGTCCCCAAAGAAGCGCGGCTCCCAGATTCCTGTCTGGGCCTGGCACTGCGCCCCCTTCCCTGACACGGACAAGCCCTCTTCCAAGCCCCACACTCCCAGAGCTCCATGGGATCCAATTCCAGCTCTGCTCCCCTAGCCATGTGACCCTGCCACAGAGCGGAGGGCAGCAGCCTCCCGTTGCCATGGCGATGACTCCAGCTCCATCCCTGCCTGTGGCCCTCAGGTGGGCAGAGCTGCAGCCGTGGAGGCAGCGCCACCATCCCTCTGCCCCACCTCCCTCCCTCCCCCCTACTCATCCTTTTCTCTCTCCGTGTCTCATTTCTTTGTCTCTTTCTCTGAATTTTCCCTGAGATTCTTTCTCTGTCTCTCAGGCCATCACTGTCACAGTCCCATCTCCTTGTCCCCTTCTCCTCTGACCTGGATCCCACCCTGCTCTTCCCGGACCTCTCTCTGTCTCCACTCCTGTTGATCTCTGAGCCCCTGTCTCCTTGTCTCTCCCCTTCCTCTCCATCTTTTGGAGTGTGACCTCTCTTACCTCTCCCGGTCAGCCTCAGACCTTCCTCGTGACGCCCTCCTGCTGAAATGAGGGAGAGGCCGCCTGGCAGGGGGTCAGAAGGCGTGAGACCCAGGCCCACTCTCACGTCCCTGTGACCCTATCGGGCAGCTCCCCAAGTCTGGCTCAGAGCTGCGTTCTCTGGGTCCCTCCCCAACCTGGCCCTTCCCTCTCCTCTCTCTTCCACCCTACCTGCTGTCTCTCCGTGTCCTTCTCTCCCCGCCCCACCTCCAGCCCTGTCCCTCTCACTCTGTCTTGGGCATGGGTTGGGCAGGCCCTGCCCTCAGGACAGCCCTCACCCCTGCGGGGTGACCAGGGGGAAGCCCGGGTCTGGAGGGACTGAAATCGGCCCAGCCTCGTTCACTCTTCGGGCAGACTTGTTTCCTTCCAGAGCCTGTGCCAGGTTTTGTGGTGGAAGAGCAGAGCATCCCTCCTATAAGCAGCTGTAGCTCACGCTTCCCCTGGCTGGGCTTCTGGTCTGGAGGCTTGGACAGGTTGAAACAGCCTCAGTATAAAGAGGATCTTACTCTCTGCCTCCTGGGATCCTGGTGGGGTTCCACCGAGATGGTGTTCGCAAAGGGCAGAGCACAGCTCCTGGCACCCGCTGGGCGTGCTGTGAACGTGAGCTCGTCGGCTCCATTCGGTCCTTCAGCACTTCCTTCCCCAGCGCCAACCCTGTGCCCGCGGAGGCTGCACACTGGAGCATGTGGTGGCGCACGGGATCAAAGAACCCACCCTCAGAGGTCTCGGCCCGAGGGAGGGACAGACACCAAAGCCACAGCATGGCACGATTGAGGCTGAGAGATGAAGGGACAGTCAGCGCAGAGTGGGGACAGAGGAGCCACTCATGGGGGTGCAGAATGGGTGCTTCCTGGAGCGAGTGATTCTCAGCTAATACCCGGGCGCTGTGTGGGGAGAGGGAAAAGAAGGTTTTAAGTCAGCGGAGCTTGGTGGAATCAAATGGAGGGAGGCATGGATGGGAGGAGCTGGTGAGAAATGGGACAGGAGGGGACATGGAGCCAGACCGGGCACAGTCCTCAGAGCTGGTATAAGGGGTTCAGACTTCATCCCAGGGTACTAAGGAGCCATGGTGGGTGTTAGGCAGGTGATGATGTGGTTGGGTTGAAATTTGGAAAGATGCCTTTGTTTGGGAGGTGAGGAGTGGGTGAAAGGAGACAGGATGGGGAAGGCTGTGCAGAGGCTACAGAGAGAAGACAGGGTGGAGTGGGGGGCTGGGAGGCACTAAGGTCTGTCTTAGGGGCTGGGGGTGAGGTGGGTATCATCCCAGGTCATGCCTGGGAACCAGGGGGAGCAGCCAGGCTCTGGGGCTCCAGCTCTCAGTCCTGGGAAGCTGGGACCCCCACGGACCCCAACCTATGTCCTCCAGTCTAAGCCTCAGGCAGGGGCTGTTGCTTTTTGCAGGCAGAATCTGAGGAAGTCCTGGGCTCCAGATCCCACCCGCTGGGTCACATTTCAGCCTGGACCTCATAGCTCTGGTCCCCACCCCAGGCCCCTCTCCATCAAATGTGGAGAATGAATCCACCCCACCCTGGAGCTGCTGGGGGGTTCAGCGAAGACCCCACGTGTGATGGTGTTTTGTGAGTGGCGAGGCCCTCTTTGTCCTCACATGTGTCAGGAGAACCCAGCTATGCTCCGGCCACTGTGCTGAGTCCTTCACATACAGCAGGAGGCAAGTTCTGGCCTCATCCCCACTTTCCAGATGAAGAGACAGAGGATCAGAGAGGCACTCAGCTAGAGGCACAGTCAGAATGCCATCACAGGTCTGCTGTCCCAGGAGCTGACTTAGCCTTGTACTTTCAGGAAGGTGTCCCCCCTCCTACACCCCACCCCTGTAGGTCTGGGGGCTGAGGCGTGGAAGGACAGAGGGCAGAGGGGCTGCCTGGTAGTTAGAGGCTAAAGGCGTGGAGTCGAGTGGGGCGAGGCCCTCTCACTGCTGCAGAATGCCACAGGTGCCCCCTCCCCAGTGCGGGAGGGGGGGCGGGGCAGGGTTTGTGTTCATCAGCCTGTCTCCCAGTGTCTCTGGGTATCGGGGGAGGGGTGTCTGCGATGGCCCCAGGACGGGCGGCGGTGCAGGGACTCCCAGGCACTGAGCCCACCCAGCCATTGCATCTGTCCCCAGGGCCCATACATCTTCCTAGTCTATGCCGCCTACAACGAGGAGGTGAGTGGGGGGGACATCAGCGGCTGGGGGGTGGAGTGGTGATGGAGGTGGGCAGGGCTTACCTACGGGGGATCCTCAGCCTCCCAGGGGTCGGGGAGGGCCCCAGGCCTGACCCCAGTGCCTGTCCCCCAGGTCCGGAGTGCCCTGCAAAGGATGACTGAGAAGAAGGCAGCCGGAGCATTCATGGTGCAGGCAGGCGTGGGGCCGAGGGGAGGTGGGTCCCACTCTGGCCGGGTGGAGTGCCAATGCCCTCTCCTTTCAGGCCCAGGAAGCCCGCCCTAGGCCCTCCCATCCCTGGGAGGTAGCCCAGGACAACCCCTTAGCCTTGGCTCCACCCCGAAAACACCTGGCTCTCAGAGGTACGGCCACACCACCCTCCGGTTCCAGTGCTACCCAGTACCTCAGTTTCCCCAGATAGCTGGAGGGCAAGAGCAGATCCTATTAGCCCATCTGAAAGATGAAGAGACTGAGGCCCAGGAAATTCTGCAGGTGTGGGGCCTGGGAGACGGCTTAGAAATGGCTTGGTTCCTCTTACCCCCCACCCCACCCCCAGGGAACAGGGGCCCCTGGTACCCAGCCCTGAGTCGAGGCTTGCCCAGGGTTACCTGCTTTGGATCTCTATGCAGAGGGGGTTTGGGGGGTCCTGAAAGGCAGGGTAGATGAGGTTCAGGGCCCTGAGACAGGACATGGGTTGAATGACTTCAAGGCCATGCCAGGGGTTCCAATCCCAGCTCCTAGTTCATCTGCTCTGTGCCCTTGGGCAAGTTACCTTTCCTCTCTGGGCCCTAGTTTTCTCATCACTAGTCTGTAGGGTAGCCTGTTGAGTGGATTCCTAGGGTCTTTGACAGTGAGGTTCCTGCCCAGAGTGGGGGAGCAGAGAGAGAGCTTCCTGCCTCAGCCTCCCAAAAGGTCATCTACTCCAGCAATGTTCCCCCCACTAGGGACCCACGCCCCCAGAATGCCCACAACCTTCTCCTCCATTGCAGAACCCGAGACACCGGTGAGGCTGGGACGGGGGTGGCAGGGGTGGCAGGGCTCTGGCAGGGGGCCAGCAAGTGTGACCGGCAGGGTTGGGAAACCACAGGGACTAGGGTGGGGCTGGGGTGGGGGCCTCCCCTGGGGAGCCAAGGGCCCCGTTCCTCAGTTACCAGGCTGAAGGACACCGGGAGCTGCTGACTGTATGCCGGCAGAACCTGAATGCCAAGGCCACTGGGGGTGGGGGCGTCATCACCAAGGTATCGGAGGGCCCCCAGGGTCAGGGGGAGCAGGAGTGGGGCCCAGCCCCTGATGGACTTCCTCCGTTCTCAGGCAGTGGAGCTGACAGCATTCAAGGCTTCAGGTAGAGCTCCTCCCTCAGGGGCATCCCCTCGCCCCCTTGGTCACCCCCCAGCCCCACTGCACCAGAATGGAGGTGGTCTGCGGAGTCACCACACCTGACCTGCCATCACTCTGCTCCTTGTTGGTGCCCAAAGGGCCTCCGGTAGCACAACAGGGCGCTGGCAGTGAAACTGGGGTGCTCCCTGGGAGAGGGGTACTTAGGGGACAAGTCTGGGACCCCTTCCCAGGGCCAGTGCTGCCCGGGGGCCGGTGAGCAGGAAGCCTGCCTCTGTGCACCCACTCTCTCTGCCCCCAAGCCCAGCCCCCCAGCCTCACCCCCTCTCGGGGCCCCTGTGGTCTGAGAGGCCTTCCAAACCTGGGGAGGGGCAAGTGCTTTCCTCCCAGGCCTCAGTTTCTCCAGCTGGACAGCTGATAGAGGCGTGAAAGGGAGCCTATGGGCCGCAGGCAAGGCTGGGGCCATCCCAGGCCCTGCTCAAGGAGGGACGGAGCCCGGGGCATTCAGCCAGGCCCCAGGGGAGCCGTGGGACCTTGTCAGCCTCTCTGCGCCCAAGTTCCCAGTCTCACACCAGAGGCTGCCCTGTGAGGGGCTGGCCAGCACTGCCCAGCCGCAAACCGTGGGATTCTTTCCAACCTGTTTCTGGAGCTCTGCCTGGGGCTGGGCTGTGTGCTAGACGCCAGGCCTTAGCTGACGCCTTTAATCTGGCGACCCGGGGACATGGAGGTGCTGTCCTCCTCCCACCGTGCAGCTGAGGAAGCTGAGGCACAGAGGGGAGCCGTGACAGCCAGGGCCTGGGTGGAGCTGGGGTCAGGCCGCCAGCCCCCAGATGGGGACGCTGAGCTGCAGCGGTGGGCACGTGCTTGTAAGCTTGGGTACATCTGGCCCCGGGGCTGTGTCACCCCAAGCTCCCAGCCGGCCTCCACCTCTGGCTGGTGTCTCAGGCCCTTGGAGCCGCAGCTTCTTTCTGCAAAATGGGCTGGAGGCGCCCCCTGCAGGCCTGATGGGAGGGCGCAGGCGCCCAGCGCGCGAGCCGCGTCCCGAGGGTCCGAGCTGCCCCTCCACCCCAGCCCCGACCACTCCCCGCGCCCGCGCCCCCGCCCCCGCCGGCGCAGCGCCTCGGTGGGAACAAGAGCGGCAGCGGCGCCTCTGCGCTCAAGTGACAGCGCCTTTGTCTCCGCTGAATGGGTGCGTTGCTAAGGCCGCTCGTAGCAACCAAGCCGCTTCCACCCTGGCCGCGGCCCGGCCCCACCCTCCGGACCCCCAACCTGCACGCTCGCCCGACCCCCTAGCCCGCTACCCCACCGCCGCCCACTCAGATGGCCTGAGCAAGAGGTGCGGGGCAGTGAAGGCTGCCAGCTGCGTGTCCCCCACGTGCCTGTCACCGCCCCTCCGGAACGCTCGCGGAGCCCTCGGGGCATGCGCTGTTGCTCGGATGGGGAAACGGAGGCGCAGAGACCGGATGAGGGAGCCTGCCCAGGGTCGCCCAGGACAGGATTCGCCCCCCCCCCCATCATTCCCAGTCTCCTTCCCATCGTGGGGGGGGGGGGGAGGGGGAGGGGGACGGGGGACAGGGAAGGGGATGACACAGGACACTGCGATTCCCCACCAGCCCAGCCCAAAGGGTGCACTTTCCTCCCAGGTTTCTAGAGCGAGTACATGGGACTTTCCTGCAAGTTCCACCTGGGGACCTCAGAAAGGCCCAACTGAGGGCCCCTGAGGGACAGACAGCAGCATCTGGACCACCACCCACTCCCAGTGGCCTCAGCCTCTCCCTCCTCCTTCTGGGAACCCCCGATGCTCCTGCTAACCCCACCATGTCCCACAGTTCTGTCCCCCTAGCTTTCTGTCTGTGATTGTCTCTCCCCTCTGCCCTCTCCACCTGCCCTGAAGTCCTGACAGCCCTGTGGTGTCTCCAGTAATAAATGGCACTGTCGTGAACTGGTCCTCTTGAGGGGTTTCCCTGGCCTGGGAAGGGGACGGGATGCCAGGGTCCCTGGGAGGAAGGAGGGACAAGGGAAGCTGCCACTGTGGCTTTGGGGCTTTGACAGCCCCAGCTTCATGACCAGGGTAGGTGCAGCCAACACTAATTAGCATCTACTGTGTATATAGCCAGTGCTGGCCACCATCACCCTATTGTACAGAGGAGCAAAGTGAGGCTCAGAGAAGGCCTCCATGACTCAGACCCAGCTGGGTACCACGGGCGTCAGGGGTGGAGTTGGTGTGGGGGGAGCCACCCAGGCCGACTGCTCAGAGGAGGCACCAGGGCAGGCAGGACTGGCTCCAGCTCTGCTGAGAGTCATGCCATGGAAGGGGCCTGACCCAGAGTCTGGCTGAGGGACCAGGCCTTGCCGCCACCCATCTGCGGCCACAGGCAAGATGTCTCTCCGAGTCTCAGTCTCTTCTTGGGCAGAACAGATATCAGAGCCGAGGTGAGAACAGCGATGATGTGTAGGGCCTGGCACCAGGGTGGGCCCCAAGGCAGAGGCCAGGTGAAGGAGGGGCCCAGGTGCTGGGACTTGGGATGCAGAGCCTGCTAATACCATCCTGCTGCCCTCAGCCCTGCTCGAATGCTGCTGGGACGAGGACAGCGTGGCCCAGCTGCGAAGCATCAGGGCAGCCTGCCTGGGGTACCATGGTGGGTAGGCGGCGGTGGGGCAGGGCCGAGTGAGAAGCAGCCTGAGACCCAGCAGATACAAGCTGCCCCTACTCCCTCTGCGACCTCGGAAGCCGCTTCCGCCCCGGGCCCCACCTGGGTTGAGTCTGGGACAAAAATCTCTCAGGTGGCTGACCTTCCACTCAAGGCCCAGGGTTAGGATGTTTCACTGTGGAGCCTTTCGAACCCCAGTCCATTGTCTGCAGAATGGGGGAGACAGCAGGCCTCCTGCGCAGGTGACGTGAGCAGGGAGTGCAGTCCCGTGTGTCAGTCCCAGTGCCCAGCACACGGCAGGCACCAGGGATGCTTCAGCTGTCGCCAGAGAGGGACGAGCAGGGGACTGTGGGAGCGCAGAGCCCGCAGCCCAGAGGAGGTCATGTTTAAGGCCTTGAAGGCCCCAGGCAGACAGAGTAGATAGCAGGCCTCCGTGGGGAGGCAGCAGGGTCCCCACCCGCTCTGGGAAGACACAGCAGTACCCTAGGGAGGAGCGGCAGGGTGGACGCCACTGCCCACGGCCCACGGTCCACAGAACAAGGGGCTGGAGCCTGCTGCTGTGGGGCGGGGTGGAGGGGCTGGAGCCTGAAAGGGCAGCAAGAAGGGGGCACAAACTGGGCGGGGTCCTTGGTGGCCCCTCCTGCCTGCCTTTGCAGTGTCCTCTGACTCGCCCTCACCTACAGAGGGCTCATGCACCGCCCCCCCCAACTTATCATATGGGCTGGTAGGGGAGGGGCACTGGGGTGGGGACCAAGGAGCCCTTTCCAGTCTCCCTTCCCCCTGCTCATACCCTTCCAACCCACACACACACACTCTTTACGCTCCAGCCAAAATAATATCTCCTAAGTCCCCAAACACCACTGGCTGACAGCTCTCCATCCCTTTGCTCACTCTGCTCCCTCTGCCTCGACTGCCTCCAACTTATGTCCAGCTCGTGAATTCCTGGGTAACCTTTAAAATCCAGTTTGGATGATACCCTTCTATGACTTCGTGTCCCTGCCAGGAGCAGAATCAATCACCTCCTCATCTGGCTCAGGTACATGATGTATTGCATCGGATTATGAACTCATTAAAGACTGTCTCCTCCAAGACTGGGCATTCCCCAGAGGCAGGAACCAGGGCATGTGCTGCACTTCTCGAAGTGCCAAGAAGGAACAGGATGCTTTTTTCTTTGCATAAAAGCCACTGCCACACCGTGTGCCTAGGGCTGCCTCGCCCTAGAGGGGCGCCTTTTTCTAATTCGCACAGAGGCAGCGGGTGGACCAGGAGTGGCGCTGGGGGCAAACCAGTCAGGTCAGGCGAGGTGGGTGAGGGCGATGGAGGTTTGCGCGATGGCCCCGCCCCTTCTCAGCTCTGTGACCTTGGACAGCCCACTTCACCCCTCTGCACTCAGTTTTCTCTCTAATCTGTGGCTGCCACCTGCCAAAGTGGCTTCAAAGAGCAGATGGGAGAACAGGACAGACGAGGCAGGCAAAGCCCTGGCAGGCACCTGGAGCAGAGGAAGCACTCCTCAGGGGTCGGCCGTGCTGTGGGGGAGGGGGTAAGAGAGTCAGTGAGAGGGGCCTGCCCGGGGCCCACGGGTGGCCAGGGATGGACAGAGAGTGAAGGCCAACGCTCTGAAGCCCGGTGGACGCAGGTTTGAATCTACTCCCCCAGGTCACTGACTGAGGGCCACTTAAGTGCTCCCTTCTTCTCAATTATAACCCCTGCCTCACGGGCTACCGTGGGGACAGTGAGATGGGGGATGGTGCACAGTAGGTCTTCATCAAATGAGTGCTCCCTTCTGCCCAAGATGGGGGCGGAGCCGGCACGGCCAGGGTGGAGCCAAGACTGAGGCCCTGGACCAGCGTCCTGAGTATGGCAGGGGCCCAGGCATGAGGTGGGGCCCAAAGACATCTTCCATCTCTGCCCCCCACACCCGATTCTGCCTCCCCAGAGTTTTGAAGCGAAGGTTGTCTGAGTGTCCCCTCCATCCCACTGGGAGCATTGCCCCACCCTAGACCACCCAAACCCACCTAGGAGGTTCTGCTTTGGCCCCAGAACGTAAATAGGCAAAGGTAGCTGGAAACTAATTGCAAAATTTATTCCAGGGCTGTGGGGCTGGGGAGTTTCTTAAGGGCACTTCTCATTTTGGGGCTGAGGGTCTCCAGCCTTGGTGGGGGCACACGTTTCAGAGGGCAGGGGCGGGGACAGAGACAGGGCAGTGGAAGGTGGGGGAACAGGGACGCACAGTCACCTCCACTGGGCAGGCTCAGCGCAAACTACAACATGAAAGCAGGACAGACGGTGGATGCCCAGCCTGGGGACAGAGGACAGCCAAGCCCTCTCCTTAGGGCCTGGCCCTGGAGAGCGTCTTTCAGGACATAGGACAGGAGGCCAGGGAATTGAGGCCCAGCTTCAAGGTTTGCAGCAAGGGACCCAATGGGACAGGGCCGATGAGGGAATGTCCCTGTTCTGGAGACCCACATACGCTCCCCAAGGTCACCCATATTCCCACCCACAGAGACTGGGATCCCCCACAGGGCATCCTGCTGTCCGTCTAGTGGGGTGGGGGGACAAGCAATAGCTCTTCTCTGGATTGGGGTAGGGGCTCAGAAATAACGAGCCAGCACCACCCGTGGGGAACCCGGTATGAGGGGAGAAACCATGGGCGGTACTTGGTGCTAATCCCCAATCTCAGCCTCAGTCCTCAAATCTGGCCCCTGCCCCTGCCACACACGCCTCTCAAGGAGTCTCTAGATTAAAAACAAATTAAAAACAAAAAACAAAAAACAACCTCCTGGCTACAGCCTTGCAGATAAACACCAGCCTGGGCTGGCCCACTGGGGATGGGGCTAGGATGCTGATTGTGCCAAAGGTCTCCTCTGGCGGGAGAGGGATAGAAAGGTGATTGATTGTAGCAGAATTCTTTTCAGGTGCTTGTCAGAGTTCTCCCCTGCAGAAGCCAGGTGGGGTAGAAGGGCGAGGCGAGACGTCCTTTCGTCCTAACCAGTCTGCCCGTGTCCTCTAGGGCCAACAGCCCCTGCCCAGTTTTGCAAACTCAGTTTATTCCTAGTTTACAAAACAGAGGGCTTCCCTCCTGGGCGCTGTGACGGAGGGCTGGGGACCCTCTCTTCTCTCCCAGCTGACCCGCTCAACCTCTCTCTGCCTCTGTTTCCAGGAGAGGGGGAAGAGATGACCTCTGACCCAAGGGACATGGAGGCCCACGAGGGAATCCCCAACCTGCCCCCTGGACCTGTGCTCCAGACTCCAGGACAGACAGCTGGGAGTAGGGGCAGGGGGAGGGAGTGGGTAGCAGCTGCCTCCTTGGGGCACTCTGAGTGGCTGGCTAGTGCCAGTGGCTAATAGGGACCACCCCACCTCAGCCAGGCCCTGCCCACCTTCACCCACCTTCCCAAACACAGGGCTTCAGAGAGCTCAGGGGCAGGGGCCTACAGGGTGGGGCTCCTGGGTGGGCACGATAGAATCAACCATCTGGAGGGCAGCAGGGGTGGCTGTGAGCCCTCCCCCGGCCCCGGCCCGACCCCACCCAGCCCAGGCTCAAGTCTGCTTGGCTTGCAGCATCTCGATGAGCAGGTTGTTGCGGGGCATCTCGTTGCCCAGGTGCTTGTGGTACAGGTATTCCTTGGCCTGCATGCTCAGTGCCCGCACCTCCACCAGGCACAGCAGCAGCTGCTGGAACTTGTCCCCGCAGTGCGGGTAGTGGCACAGGGTGTAATCGAGCAGGGCGGTATTGGCCTTCTCCTGAGCATCCTTCACCAGGCTGTGGTTATTCAAGAACTTCACATCTGCAAAGGGAGGAGCTGCGTCACCACCACCAGCCCGTCACATCATCCACAGTCACTGGCATCACCAACACCAGCATCCCTGTGATCGGCAAAGACATGCGCACCGCCACCATCAACACAACCACAGCCTCCCCGTCACCACCACGTCACCATCACCCTTGTCTTCACCATGGCTGATGAACACTGCCGCCATCATCCGTCACCCATCACAGCATCCCTGTGTGTTCCCCAAACGTGGCCCCTGCTGCCGTCATCAACCAAACCTCAATCATTCCTGCCACCACCATTGTCACCATCACCACAGTTGAAGACCACATCTCTGTGGTTACCACAAACACGACCACTGCCACCATCAGCCACCCAACTGCCATCACCTGTCACCATCACCTCCGTTGTCATCACAATGGTGATCACAATGAACGCCTCTATCATCACCAACCTCCCTGGGCATGTTATTTAACCTCTCAATTTCCTCATCTGTAAAACGGGGGTGACAATAGTCCCTACTTCACAAGGAGTCAATATGTGGAAAGTGCTAGAACAGCATCTGGCACGTAACAAGGCCAAATATGTTAGTTGTCACCATTAGTACTCCCAACTGTCCCCATGGCATGGTCAACACCATCCCCATTTCCATGGTCAAAACCATCCTGTCACCATCATCCCCATGGTGGTCACCATCAGCATCACAACCCCACCACAACCAACACTGTCCCCTCAGCACCATGACCAGAGGGTGCACTGTGAGTGGAAGGGTCCCCTCTCATGACTGCAAGGCGTGTGACGGGTGGCCCCATTCCAGAAGGTGACAGGCTGTCCTTTGGTCTGCCCTCTGACCAATCAAGAGACTCCAGTACCCCTAGGAGATTTTCTCTTGGGGCCATGGCGGGACACGGATGTTCAGTGCAGCAGTGTCTGTGGTGATGGAGAGAGGGCCTGGATGTACCCCGGGGAGAGGTGGTGGCCGTGCCCCAGGGAGTCCTGTGCAGTAGACAGAAGTAATGGAGCAGACATTACACAGAGCAAACAGACGGGTCTTTCAAACCACGGGGCTGAGTGGAAAAACAACAAAAATCCAGAATGAGCTCTATCAGGCAAAGCCACCTACATAAATTGAAAACGCTCGTACACTCATCACGCACGATATGGAAGCCCAGGGACAAACAGGAAGATCCCAGGTCAACACGGAGGGGTTGCCTGCGGGAGGCGGAGGAGGGCGGTGGCTCTGTGTGGACCAGCGATCATTCGCGCCAAGGATGGAGGAGTGTGATAAATGCATCCCTTGCACCACGGTCCAGAGGAGGAACAAAAAATAAGGTGTCTGGAGATGAATGGGGGTTCCAGTGCCAGCACCACCGTTTAAGAGCAGCGGCCTTGTGGGGGAGTCCCTGCCCCGTCTTGACCCGAAAGGCCTTCTTCCTTTGTGAAAGGGGCCGTGTCCACCTTGCTGGGGCGAGAGCTTGGGGGCTGGGGCCTGCCCAGTGCCTGGCCCCCAAGGGTCAGTTTCTTGTCACGTCAGTCCTCATCTCCGCCTGCAGGCCTCTTTCAGCCCCTGGGCAGCATCTCATCTAGAAGCTGAGGGTCCGCAGGAGCCCACAGAATCGGTCGCCCAGCCCCAGATCCTAGCCCAGCCTTGCCTGGGATGTGGCGCCCACAGGCTCAGAAAATGGTCCTCCATCCACTTCCACTCCGCCCCCGGCCCCCAGCCCTGCGGCTGCGGGGGAGTCGGGAGCCAGCATGTGCACTCTGGGCCCTTGTAATCCCTCTAAACACGCACAGCGCCAGAGGGCTTCATGCTCCTGGCAACCCTGATCCCCAGCCGCCCCCAGCGCACCCGCCGAGGCCTGTGTTGTCCAAAGTTGGATTTAGGGAAACCCGAGCTGGGCCAGTGGCGTATGGCGGGATCTGGCCCCGATCCTCCACCCCCACCCCTCGCCCCCTCACCTCCCTTCAGTAAATGAGCCAGGGCCATTTTCTTCCTCGCCTCCCCAGGATCACCATTAGCCCATAAGACACCTTTGTGCCAATTAGAAAGAAGTTCCTCCTTTTTCCGCAGAGAGACAGTTTGGTGAGGGGCATGCAGGCTGGATTTCAGCCTCTACTTATCTCCTGCCTAGGTGCCATTGTGCAGTAAACAACCTGCCCAACTGTACATAGCAGCTCTGCTCCCTAGCCTAGCCCAATCCAGACACATTCAAAGGTCATGGCAAGTCTTCCCACCTAACTAGCCTCCTGGGGGCAAGAGGTGCCTACTGGTCCCATCCCTTTCCCAACTTCTTTCCATCCCAATCCTGTCCCATCTACCTTCACCGCCCATCAACCCCAGGGCTGGGCAATTTTCCTGACATTGTCTTCTGACAATTCACAATAAGAGGCTGGGAGTCCAGAGAAGGGTAGGGACGAGCTCAAGGCCACACAGCAGTAAAGGGGCCCCGAGGAAACAGCTGGGGGTAGGGGGAGGACTGGCTAGGATGCTGCATTAGAGGCAGGAGTGGGGCGGGGGGAGGACCGGAGCCTTGGCTTTACTAGGATTTACTGTTCTCAGCAGCACCGTGCAGGGCAGAGTGCGGGGGGTAGGGACAGAGCAAGGACAGCATTCAGTTTCAGGGGCTGCCCCCCTCTTAGCAGATCCATGGTCCCACAGCTCTCTGCAGGCTGGAGACCCCCTGTCCCCATGAGTGGGCTCCAGGGCTCGGGGAGGGAGGCACAGTCAGTAACTGAGCCCCAGTGACTACAGACTACGTCCACCCAGTTTCCCAGGCACCCGCCAGGCACCTTGACCCGGCTCAGTTAATCCCACAGACACCCAGGCAGGCAGGAAGGGCACAGGGACGGGGGACGTGCGTGGGACACACAAGAGGTGCCAGAGTCTGGATTCAAACCCAGGTCTCTCTGGCCCCGGAGCCCTATGGACAAACAGGTGTGGCCAGGCTTGGACATGGGTTCCTGGGAGGTTGGACCTGATAGCTTTATGTGTCATCCAATCCAGGAGTCCTGTCCAAGGGCCCCCACCCCGGGGGGTCTCGGTTTCCCCAAAGAGGCCACTCGGGACTCCAGACCCAGTTCCCTCCTCACTTTGGAGGAGACCGTGTTCAAGTCCCACCCCTCTCCCAGCCTCACAACGTCACAAAGATTCTGCAGGATCGTGGACGCGACAGAGCCAGCATGGCACAGAACACCATGCCCTTCCTCCATTAGACACAGGGGCAGGGGTCACACAAACCTGGAGATGCCCCCTAAACGTGTCCAGGGGTCAAATCCCAGCTCCACCACCAGCTGGGTGACCTTGGGCAAGCCCCTTCCCCTGTCTGAGCTGCAATTTCCTGTCATCTGCAAAATGGGGACAAATTCATCTCCGCCTCCCAGGGCGCCCAAGAGCTGGACCTAATCTGTGAGCCACCACGGGGTGGAGACGGGCACCCTGGAGAAAAACCTGCCCGCGTCCCCCAGCCTGCTGGCTCCCGGCAATCCTGGAGGCGGGAGGTGGGAGGGGGCCGGGAGGGGGGCCCCCACCTCCGAGAGCAGCCCGCTGGCTCTGCGGAGCTGGGGGCCCCCGGGTTCTCAGAAAAGCCCCCTTTTCACGGTTTAATTGAATATTTGAATAATCCTTTCATTCCAGCGAGGCATAAAGAATGTTGTCCCAATAGCGGTGACTCAGGCAGGCGCCCCCGCGCACAATGGCCCCTCGAGTGGGGCTGCTATTCAGGCCGCCTTTTGTTGGCGCGGAGCTGTGGGTAAATTGCAAACGCTTAAGGGAATGCTGGAGCCGCCGCCTCAATGGAAGCCGGGAAATCGAATGTTAGGTCAATCCATTAAGCTTCGATTAAGTCCTCTGCGGAACAATGCCCGCCGGGCCCATCTTCATAAACACCGTGATTGCCAGAGAGAGGCACTAATTTTAATTAAGCCTCCTTACCTGCCTCCATGCCTGCCCGAGCGGCTATTTAGACGCCAAATGGCACCCTTCTGCGGAGGCTGGGGAGAAGGGGGTGCAGAGTGGGCTAGGGGCGGCGGGGTGGGGCGGGGTGCAGGGACAATCATCACCAGAGTTCAGGCTGCCCATCCCCAGGAGGTGCTGCCCCGAGGGTGCCGCCCAGCGTGCCAGCTGGAGGTCAACGGGCCAGTGGCCGCCCCTCTCTGGGCCACAGCTCCCTAGGGGCCCCAGCTCTGGTGGTCAGGGTGGGATCATGGGTGGAGCCTCCTTCCCCTCCTCTTGCCCAAATTTGCCCACTTCAGCCCAGCCCTAGTCTCCTGCAGGACTCTGGGCTGCCGCCTGCCCTCCTTTTCCCACACTGCAGGTGGAAGGATCTGGCTAAAATGAAAATTTGACCCTGTTATTCCTGCAGAAAATCCTTCCCAAGGCAAGGTTGAAGGCACTTGGCCCGGCATTCAAGGCCTTGCACGGCTCAGCCCCTGCCCACCTCACCAGCCTGCTCTCCACCTCTCCCTGCCCCACAGCCACACCAAACCTCCAGATTCCCCATACCTTTGCACAAGCTGGTCCTTTAGGCTGGAATGTCCTTGCTGCTGCTTGCTTTGTTTCACCCAGAATACTCCTACTCATACTGCAAGGCCCAGCTCACAGGCCCCTCTTCCAAGAAGCCTTCGGTGACAGCCTAGGTGTAATTGGTTTCTCCGCTTTGGCCCAACCCTGGTCACACTGAATGGCTCAGGCTCCTCTCCTAACCTGGAACCTGTCGGCCAACAGCCTCTGTGGCTCACCCGGCCTCCTCTCTTGCTGTTGCTCTTGCTGAGCTCCCATGAGCTCAGGAAGGCCCAGGTCACAGCTCTTCTCCTCCCCGTCAGCCTCAGCCTCACTAGAGTTTCTGGCCTGCTGGGCTGGGTGCTCCCCTACCGACCTCAGCCAGACACATGTCCCTGTCTCCAGAAGCAAGGCACTGAGTCACACAGTGTGCGATAAACACGGAGACTCACTCATTCATTCATTTCATTCATTCACTTGTTCATTTGCTCATTAACTTAACGATGGTTATGATGAAAACAATGATGCCGCACATTCCAAGGGGCCAGGCCATGCGCTGAGCACCTTGGGGAATTCTCTCATTAAATCTTCATAGCAACTTAAGGAGTATCGTGACGGTCATTTTACAGATGGGGGAAATAGAGGCTTGGAGAGGGAAGTGACTTGCTCAAGGGCATAGCCGGGGAGTGAGTCCGGATTTAGAGTCCAGGTGGTCTGTCTCTAGTCCCAGGCCTCATCACTGCTCCCCCCGCCTCTCACGTGCACACACACCCGTGCACGCACGTACACACGCGCACTCTCCATCCCACCCCTCTAGCCTGTTCCAGCCAAGCACTGAAGACAGTCCCACTCTCTCAGGCCCCAGCCTCCTGCCTCTGGCATGAAGGAGGGCCTGGCACGGCCCCCACCCAGGCCCGGGCGCAGAGAGCTGGGCTCAGCTTTGCTTCCTCCTTACGCCCCGTAGAAGGAGGAGTCCTGGCTTTATCCCTAGTGGAGGCCAGAGCTGTGCTGGGCCTGGCAGGCCCCAGCACCCGGGCTTTGGTGGGAAGAGGGGCCCGGGGTTGCAGGGCATGCTCGTCAGGCCCCGGGGGTCTGGAAAACCAAGACCTGGTCCCTGTTCTGCAGGGGGCGCCCAAGGACAGAGGGAGCCCTGGCCAAGGAGGCCGGTGGCTGGCAGCCCACCCTCCACCCAACTCTCTCCAGGACCTCCCTGGCAGCCTCTTGATGGAGGTCAGGTCAAGAACTGTTACCTCACACACCACCCAGACGGCCACAGATCCCACCCTCCAATCCTATGTGCCCCCAAGCACCAGCCATCCCTCCAAATGCCTCACGTCTGCAAACCCCCCAGTTGCTCCCTAGTGACACTGATTCTTCACACAACGTGACATCAAAAACCACAAGCCTGGAAAAGTTCATAGTGTGCATGCGGGGGAAAACCAAGACACTGACACAAAGGCACACGCATGCACGTGACTCCTGGAGTCCCCACACCCCCAGCCACACACGTCTGTGCTCTGGCCTGAGCCAGTTCCTGGAGCCCGGCAGCTCAGAGACGAGGTGGAGAGGAGGGTACCCCTGGAGGCCGAGGAAGGAGGGGGCTCCTCCCGCTGGAGCCAGCCTGGCCTGGGCCGAGCCTCCTCTGAGAACTTCAGGCCACGGCTCCTAACTGCCTGCCCAAGATTCTGCCCCAGCTCCCACCCTAACTGTCCCCTCCCCACCCCTGCAGAGCCCTCCCGGTGACCAGAGGAGGCCAGCAGCTTTGCAGATATGCCCTCCAGCACCAGCCTGTTGTGGCATAGCCAGGCGCCCAGCCCGCAGTACCTAGTCACACAGCCATGGCCTGAGCACTGGGCTTCCCACAGTCACCACTTCACTAGTCACTCCCCTCCTGGCTCGCTTCTTCTCCTCTTCTCCAACTCCCCCCACTCTTGGGCAGACATACCCTTGCCAGACTGTGGCCATAATGCCATCTGCCACAAAGACGATGTCTCAATCCTGCCCCCTCCCCAGGTGATGAGGCATTCATGCCACTCTGTTCCAACCTTCCATCCCATCTACACCTCTGCTAAAAGATTTAGCCACCTAGCAAACTCCTATTCATCCTCCAAAACCCTGCTCAGATGTTCCTCTTCCAGGAAGCTTTCTAGGCAGAGCCCTTGTTCCTCACCCTGGGCTCCCCATCTCTCTGTCCCAGCCCTGATGGCACTGGCTGGAGGCCTCTCCCGGACTGGGAGCCACCTGAGGAAAACCTCTATGTTCACAGTATCTCTGGGCACAGAGAGGGCACTGGAGATGGCTTGCAGGGTGAAGGAGGACAAAAGGAGGCAGGCCTGATGTGAGCCCAGAGGGAGGATGGAAACTGAGCAGCACAGGCTGGGCCAGGGTCAGAAGGGTGATGGGAAGGAGATGCCAGACGCCTGGGTAGTGGGGCGAGCCAGTGGTTGGGCTCACCTCTGCCTCCTCCCTGCTTTCTTCTCCTCCTTAGTCTTTATTGTGATCGCCCAGGCTATACATTGTACTACTCAGTTCACTAATTTATATATTTACTAATCATATCACGCTTGTTGGCTCTCTCCCCCAGAGAAGGTCGGCTCCAAGAAGACAAGGACTTCAGGTCGATTTTGTCCTCTCTGTGTCCCCAGTGCCTTGCACAGTCCAGATGCTCACCAAATGTTTGTAGAGTGAATGAATGAATGTGCAAGGGGTCTGGGCCCCAAAAGGCTCAGAGTCAGAATGCGGACTCCTCTAGAGCAGGGAATTAGGGAAAACAGGGACCCCCGGCCAGGAGCCAGGGAACAGAAGCTCCCGAAGCCACCCAGGCATCTTCTGGAGGTGGCATGGGCCAGGAATTTACCGAATTCTCAGAAGAGGTCCTTGGCCCATACAGGGCAAGTCTTAGATGTTAGCTTGGCCCTCTCTGCTTCCAAACAGAGAAACTGAGGCCTACAGAGGAAGCAATCCCCATTTTAAGAGCCAGGTCCTGGGCCAGGTTCCCTCAGCCCCAGTGCCTAGCCCCATCCTGGGGTCTCGAGGCCAGGCCGCCCCTGCCCCCGCCAGCCCGGCCAGGCCGCACGCAGCCCACTCACCGAGGCTGAAGAGGATGAGGAACTTGAGGCAGACAAACTCCTGGCGGTCCAGCTGCAGCGCGTGCATCTGCAGCACCAGCTCCTGGGCCCGCAGCACCAGCCCATGCAGCAGTGAGCCGGCCTGGGCCGCCACCGTGGTCAGCTCCACCTGGCGGCCAGAGGACAGGGCTCAGGGGCGGCAGGTGTGGGGCAGGAGGCTCTGATCAGGGATTCGGGGGAGGCTGGGGGTCAGGTGTGCCCAGCCTCGGAGCTGAGCCAGGTGGGGGCAGCATCTCCTTGGGCCCCAGGGACCCTCCCAGCCCCGACGGCAGGGCCCAGCCTTCCTAGCTGTCCTCACCGTCCGCCCCAGGCTGAGGGCCCCGCGGCAGCAGAGCCAAGACCAGGCCGCGGGTGCAGAGGGAAGGCCGGGGGGCACCTCCCACACAAGAGCCGCCGCCCGCCCCATGGCACGAACGGCTTTTGTGTCTTGTGTGGTGTGTGCAGCGAGCACCACATAGTGCTGGGCTTGGGGCAGAGGTGTCCAGAGACACGTGGATCCTGCCACATGACTGCCAGGTCATTGGACGCTCGGACTGGGGATGCGGTCACACCTCAGCTCACACTCACACACACACACGGACACACTCACTGGGTCATCCTTCCAGTTCATGAAGTGAAGACACACAGACGCATGCTAACATGGTCATGTCACAGGGGAACACAGACCGACACACGCCCGTGTGGGTTCACATTGACGTGGGCAGCTCTCGACCACCCGACATTGATGTGTGTGGAGATCTTTGCACAATAAAATATGGCAAACACACACACACACGCGCGCGTGTGCGCACTGGACATTCCCATGGCCTCAGAGACTGACCTGCACATTGACAAGGACCAACACAAACACACCCATCCCTCAGCCGCTCCCCATCCGCACTCTCAGGTGGCCTCAAAGTCACCCCCTAGAGACGAGCATTCCCTGGCATGGACATGGACGGCCTGAGGCAGCCAGGGTGAGAACAGAGGATGGGGACAGAGGGCTAGCGGTGACGGTAGCGGGTGGGGAGCAGGGCCTCTGTCTCCAAGCCCCACCCACAGCTCCTGTCAAGCCTGCTTGTCCTCCTGGATCCCCCCCAGTGATGCTCCCTTCCCCCGCAGCCTAGACGGGGGACCCCAACCTGCCTTCTCCCTCCCTCCCTCCATTTCCCCTACTCGCCTCCCTCTCACCACAAGGGCTCCTCCTCCTTGAATTGCCCCCTCTCACCCCCAGCATTCGGAGCAGTGGGTGGCTGTTCCACTTCCTCCTCACCTCCCATCGCGCCCCCTCCACGTGCTTCCTCAAATCCAACCCGGCCGGATCCTTCCCCGCTTGACTCTCCCCTTGCTCCCTGCTCCATTTCAGGAGTGTCTATGCCCCGGGCTCCCATCCTTGTGCCCCTAATTCCCTGTTCTAAGGGGGCCCCAAATTCTCACTCTGAGCTCTTTGGGGCCCAGACCACTTTGCCCATTCATTCATTCATTCATTCAGGATTTAGGGCCGGCAAGCCCTGGTCCAACCCAGCCCCTAGCAGTCCCTTCAGCCACCTCATCCCACACCCCACAGGGCCCCCGGCCCCCCAAACCCATGTACCAGCGCACCAGAGGCCCTGGGCGCTTGGCAGCTCTGAACTTCCCTCTCTGAGCCTTTCTATGCCCTCTGCCTGTGGTGGGGTGGGACCTACCCCCGCCCCCCTTCATTACCTGACCAATCCCTGTTTATACTCTCAGGACCCAGTACACTGTCACCTCTTCCACAAGCCTCTGATCCCCGCCCCCCATCGCTGGGCTGCTTCGCCTGAGGATCGCTCCCAGGGGCTGGCTCCTCTCAAGGCCGGGGCAGGGCTGGGCAGAGGGAGGTCGGGCCCGTGGGTAGCCCATGAACTTGAGGAAAGGGCTGGTATTCAGGGTGCTCAGGGCCAGCCCTGGAGAGGCCTGGGACCTCTTCTGGGCCCAGGATTCTGGAGGTGCACGGGGCGGGGGGGCAGGGGGGAGTGAGGCACAGTGGGGTCTGGTCACCTCCTGCCCGGTGACCAGCAGGATGCTGCCCTCCTTGCCGTGCTGGACCTGGCGGTAGATATGGTCGAACACCAGCAGCTCGCTCCAGCAGTTCTGCAGCAGGGTCATCTGGTCGGCCACCTGCAGGGAAGAGGCACGCGGGGGTCTGGGTTCCGGCCGGGTCCCGCTGGGGACCTCCCTCTCTCCCCTCCTCCTCCCAACTCTCAGCTCAGAGGCTCAGCTGGGTCTGTGACCTGGGTGACCTGCGTAACCTCTCTGTGCCCAGTCCACCCGTGTCTACTTTATCCGAGTGTGGCAGGGGCCTCACAAAATGCTAAGAGGGTCTGAGAGAGATGCTCAGGACTCGGATGCGCCTGGCTCCAAGCCCCAGCTCCGCTTTCACAGGTTGTATGACCTTAAGCCAGTTCGATGACCTTCTGGGCCTTAGTTTTCTCATCTGGAGAATGGGCAAAGTATTGGAAGGTGCCCTGGCACGTACCAATGTCTAAGACATCAATAAATGTTAGCAAATAACGTCCATGGAAGTGGTCTGTGAACGACTCCTTCAAATGTGAGAGATTATTATGAATTTCAATTTGTTGTTAATTTAACCTTGTGCCCATTTGTCTGTGGTCACATCTCTAGCAGCCTCAATCGCTCAAAACTGAGCCATGAAGAGGGAAGGGAGGGCTCCCCAGGGCCTCCTGCAGAGCTTTCAGGCTCAGGAGAAGAAGGGAGGGCCCGCCTGGTCTGCAGCCAGCCCGGGGATGGCAGCGGGCTGACACCTGGAGCAGGAACGGAACAACACCAGGGGGCACCTCAGGTACCCAGCCTGTGATTGCAGCACTCTGGGCGCGGGCCAGGACCACCCCTGTGCACAGTGTCCTTCCACTCTGGGGCGTCGCTACATTCGAAGAGTGGACACTCATGACATTGGCCAGCGGGACTCTGGACCATGGGATGCCAGAGCCAGAAGGGCCCTCGGGATCCCCTGGCCTAAACCTCTATTTTTCAGATGAAGAATCTGCAACCCAGAGAGGGTAAGGGACGCTCCTGGGATCCCAGAGAGGCAGCGCCATGCCTCTGGCATTCTCAGTCCTCAGCTCCCCACAGTGACACATACTGAGCTCCCCCGGGTGTTCAGAACTGCACTGGGCGTGGCCGCTCGTCTCAGGAGGACACGGTACACACTCGGGTCGCCCTCAGCATCTGCGGATCCTTGGCCAGCTGCCATCCACCCCATGGGCCCTTCCCGGCACCTTCCTGGGCCAGACCCTGCAGCGATGCAACCCAGGAGAGCTAACGGTCGCTGCACGGCAGCCCCACAACCTACGAGGTTGCTGCGATTGTGACCCCCAATCCAACGAGAGAGGCCACTGAGCCCAGAGAGGTCAGGGAACTTGCCCAAGGTCACACCACTCTGTCTGGCTCCAGATCTGTGCTCTTAACCACCAGGTATGGAACTCCCTGCCGACCCAGGAGTTCACGGCAGGCTCATTAGCTCCCCGCTGAAGCCCCCCTGGATTTCTCCTCCTTCCATGGTGCCGTCACCATCCTCAGGACATGGCTCTTGCAACATTTAAAGGCCCCAATTCCTGTCTCTGTCTTCCCCATACCTGTGGGTCTGGGAAGGCAGGACTGGTGTCCAGCTCCACTCTGCGTCCCCAGAGGAGGGGTCAGTAAGTGGTCGATGAACACGTGTGTGCTCCCCAGACATGCACAGAGAGCACAGAGGAACCACCCACAGCTGGGGCCAGAGGAGTAGGGGAAGACCTCAGACCGAGGGGACCTGGCCCAGGCTTAACGAGGAGTTCTCTCTTCTGGGGAGTAGAAGCCCCCTCCTCTCCCAGGGGCGGCCCTGGGGCCTGTCCTCAGGCAGACAGAGGGAGAGAAAAAGTGGACACAGAGCAAAGGGAGTGGCTGGACACATGGTCAGGTTTCCTCTGGGCCTCGCCTGCCCGCTGCTTCCCCGGCACACAGGGCTGAGAGCAGGAGGGAGGGTCTGTCTCTGTGCTGCTCTGAGGCACCAGCCTCCCATCCCCCCCCCTCACCTCATCCCCACGTCAAGAACCCACCCCTCCCTCTCTCCTCCCGGCAGAAAGTTCTCCCTGGAGCCCCATGATGGTCAGAATCGGAAACCCAGCCGGGGGATGGCAGGCTCCGCCACAGCTAGCCCTGGTTTGGAGGGGCCCCGAGAGGTTGAGAACGGGGCGGGGGCGAGTCATAAAGTCATCTCTCCTTATCTCTCCTCAGGAAGTGCCCAGTGCCCAGAGAGCCGCTGGCACGAGGCCTCCCCACCAGTTTCCAAGGAGAGGGGCGGGGCTCAGGGAGTACCCAGGCCAGGCCCGTTCCCAGCACGCCCAGCACCCCTCACCCCTGCCCTGTGGATGAGGAAGCAGCCCATCACAGATAAGAGGCTCACCTCAGGTACCCTCAGCGATCTGGGCTCTGCCCAGTTGCCCCCACTGGGCTGTGCTTCTGGGGGGCCCTGGAAACTCCTGAGGCCCGGGTAGGAGGCACCTGCTCAGGCGGCCACAGTGGCCCACCTTGGGCGACCCAGATGGAGGCAGAGGGGGAGGGGGATGTGCGGGGCTGAGCTCTGCCCCCCACTCATCGGAGCCCTCGGGAGCAGACACCCTTGTGCCCCGGTTGAAGGAGCAGGGGGTGGGGAGGTGGAAGAGAGAGAGATAAGGGCAGAATTGGGAGAAAAGCAGGCTGGGCTTGGGGCGGAAAGCAGCAGGGGTCACAGTGACCGGGCTGGCCAAGCCCTGGGAGCAGACTCTGTACCCAGACCCGAGCCGGGAGGGAGGGAAGCCCTGCCCACGGGGCTGACGGGGGCGGCAGGGCAGAGAAGCAATATGGTGGCTAAGCTTTGGTGCCCTGTGCCCTCGGATCCCCAACTCAGCCACGCATGCTCCTCAGCCCTAGGTTCCTGTCCTGATAAATAGGAAAAACAAATCCTCCCTCATTTGCTTAGAGGAAACGTGTGAGCACAGCGGCGTCAGTCGTGAAGGGCTCTGTGGACCCATCTCCTGGGAATGCTGCCCCGGACCTACCCCAGCCAAGCGATCTTGCCTGCCAGGCACTTCCTCGCTCCTCCCCTAGATGGACAGATGGACACATAAAGACACCAAACTCCAAAACACTCCTCACACAGATGAACACACGTGCACGCACACACACACACACACACACACACTTCCCTTTTATTTAAAAGAAAACCAGAAGGCCCTAGCCGCCAGCCCATCTCCACAGGAAAGCAGGTGGCTAAGAGGCTCTCTTAACCAAAGAGAGTTGGTTTTCACCTTCCGGAGGTTTCTCTTTAAGCAAAAGGTTCCTCCTCTACCCTCAGGCCGCCCTGCCGCCCTGGGAACAAGGACATTTGCAGTCCCGGCCCTGGGGTCCCTTGTCAGCCTGGCCTGTCTGCTTGGCCCACCAGCTGCCCACCCCTCCTGCCGGTCTGCCACAAATCTTCCCTGAGCCTTGACACTTCGCAGCCTGCCTCAGAGACGGGGTATTTATGGGTGCTGAGCTTGTCTCCTTCCCAGCGGGCCCCCCTCCGGCGTCCCCGGGGTCTGATGAGGCTGGCGGCCGAAGGCCAGCGGGCTCTGTAATTCTCCAGTGGCTGACGTGCCATGGGCTGGCCACAGTGCTCTCTCAGCCAAGTGGTCAGCGGGCCGTCATTTGTCAGCCCAGGACTGACAGAGTTACTGCCCCTCCAATGAAACCATATATCTGAGCAGTTAAATGTGTTGCCAGTCAGGGGCCCCGGAGCCGGACGTCAAGGGTGAACTCATGTCAAGATGGGTCATTAGGCAGACTTGGCCCTCGCCTCCAACTCCCTGATTCCTATCTTGGGTCCTCCCGGCCTGTCGTTCATGGGAACCATCCAGAAAGCCTGACTCTCTGGACCTACGCACTGCCCCCAGTGAGCAGCAAGTACAGGTGGGTCTCTGCCATCTTGCAGGTACAAAATTGCCTTAGAAGGCCAGGGCAAGGTGGGCCCCATCTGCTCCCACAAGTCTGGCTGCTCAGAGGAGCATGGATACAATGTGCCCTTTCTTACTCTCCGGGCGGGCCTGTAAACTACCTGCAAGCATGGATTAAATTGTAGGGCATCACAGGGGGACAGCAAGGAAGGCAGCTGCGTTCCCACTCACTGAACGCTTCCTGTACTCGGCACCCTGTCCTAAATTCTTTACCTGGCCTGGCTCACTAAACCCTTCCAGCAAGCCGATGAGGTGAATATTATTTCAACTCCCCTCATTTTATAGATGAGGAAACTGAGCCCCAGAGGAGTAAAGTCACTTGCCCAAAGTCACACCCCTGGTAAGTGGCAGAGCGGGAACTTGAACACAAGCCTCTCTGATTCTGGTCTTTGTTGTTAACTGCTGTGCCACTGTCAGATTGAACACACCATGATTGTGTGAGATGGAAACATAGAGACAGAGGGACATCCACGCTGGGAAAGGGGATGGAGGAGGAGCACCCCAAGAGGGCATCCAGAGCCCCGACATCTGGATTCCCAGCATCTCTGACAGTTCAGCAAAGACCCCAGGCCTTCCCCTAGTCAGCAAGACATCATCAGCATCCTAGAGGACAGAGTGGCCTCTGGGGAGAGCTCAGGCTCTGTGGTGGGAGCCCTCCCTGCCGCAGGATGTGGGGTCCCAGCCTGCCCTGGAAGGTTGTCCATCACCCACTGCCAGAGGATGCACTCCTGGTCCAAGCTCTGCCTCTGACCCTGCCAACCTCTCTAGCCCTGCCTCATAGGACCGCCTGGAACTCCCTGACACATGATGCCTTTCCACACTTCTGGACCTCTGCCTATGCTGTTCCCACTTCCTGGAATGCCCTTAACCTCAGGCTGCTTTCTGGAAAGGTGCAGATCAAAGAAACCTTCCCTGACTTCCTTACACAGAGCCATCTGCCCTCCTGCTGGGCTCCCTCGGCTGCTTTCCATTGCTCTCAGAGCCCTGGGCGCCCTGTGCTGGCATTATCCATGTGAATGTATGTCTCCTCCTCTGGCCTGGCAGCCTCCGGGGTCCAATTCATTTCAGTGTCCCCAGTGCCCAGCCCAAGAGCTGCCCCACTCTCAGAGCTGGGGAGCCCCCTCTGCTGTCTGCTAAGATGTGTCCTGCCTGAAGGTGAGGGGATCAACGGTTAGCCAAAGGGGAGAACAGGGTCACTCAGCACCCCTCCCACTTTTCTGCCTCCCCACCTCCAGCTTTGCGCCAGACACCAGCCCAGGGCTCAACAGTGGGAAAGAAGTTCTACATGGCTGATGAGAGACTTTCTAAGGATTAGGCTGGTACTTATCTGCAAGCCTCCCTTACAGAGGGTAGCGACCTGGTTCATATTCCTGGGCTCAATTCAGAGACTCTGGGAAGGGGAAGCAGGAAGGTTTGGACCACAGAGAAGCCAGAAGCAGGAAAAAACACTCAGCAAACCTGGGACAAAAGCCCTTCCCATCCTGCGTGAAAAACCCCGAGAGACCAGGAAGGCGGCCGGAGGAAGTGCCCTGCCCCTGGATCCCTCCCGGGTTCTGGAAAGCCAGGAACGCGCTGCTCCTCCTCCCCCTGCACTAGGAGCTCATGGGAAATCTGGAGGGGAAGCTGGCAACCAACCCAAGGGTCCCGGGCTCCACGTCCCCCACCAGGGCCTCCAGCCATGAGGGGAAGGCAGATGGGATTGTTCAAGGCCCTGTCTCTTGTCCCATCCATGAGGTCGGCCCAGAGAGGGGGCAGAGGAAGAAGTCCCCCCCATGACAGACACATGGCACATCCCCGGGCCTCGGCCACGACAGGTCCTCCACAGAAGCAGCAGGAGCCATCACCGCCAATTCCTGACTCCCAGAGTAGCCCAGGCCCCCAGCCCCATGGTGTCTCAAGGGCTCAGAGGGCCCACCCTCACCTTATCCCCCGTGCCCAGCCTGGGCAGGCAGTGCCCCCTGCCCATCCGGCCACGTGCCCCTGGAGGAAGCCCAGGCCTGAGTGGCGTCAGCACTGACAATGCTGCTCAAGGCTGCAGCGGCCCCGGCAGGGAGGGCAAGAGGCCCCGCTGTTTACACCCAGCCCCAGAACAGCCAGGGGGCCAGCCCGGGAAAGGGAAACATAGAGAGGTCTGGACTGAAGAGCGGCTGTGCCCGGACCAGGGAAGATGGGCCTGGACTAGGCTTGGGGGGCCTGAGGTTGGCAGAACACCCTGATCACAGGGAGCCAGGGCACCAAAGGGGCGGCTCCCAGGCATTGGGCCCTTCACACCACTAGGTGGATGACTGGGAAGTTCTGATCTGTCTGGCCCCAGTCTCTCCCGCTGCTTGCCTGCTTACTTTAGCTTCAGGTACTTCAACCCAGGGGGATGGAAGGCCTTGCAGTAGAGGAAGCCTGCCCCACCTGGAAGATGGATGGCAGGCCCTGCAATCTGCCAGCTACCCTCCCACCTGGCCCCCCTGCACACAGACACACACCCTCACACGTGGCTCCGACTGTCATGCATGAGAGATGTGGGGACAGTAAGATCTTTCACCTTAGCTGCGAAGGAGAAGGCCCACAAGCATCCCAAACTCTGAGACGCTAAGACCCCACCTGTGACATGTGTGGCTGCCTGGGAATGGTGGCTTCTCCAGATGGGAGGACAGGATGATTGCACCCTCTTCCTGACACTGGGCTGGGGCAGCCGGAGACTCTCCCCAGGACTCCACTGGTCCTCTCGGGGAGCCCAGGGTCTCAGAGAGAGAAATGCCTACCAAGACCCAGCCTGGGAGAGAAACAGACAGAGCCAGAAGGGGCTGGAGAAACACAGAGAGGCAGAGAGACAGCACACCGGGGAGAGAGACAACAGAAAGACAGAGGCAGAGGCTGTGAGAGAGAGAGACTCAAGAGACAGAAGGCGGGGGGTGGGCAAGGAGGCAGGAGAGGGGCCAGGAAGGCTGTGACAGACCAGAAACATTCCTCAGTGTCTCCAGTGTGGCCTCCCTGTCCCCAGATGCTGCCGGAAGCCAGTGGGCAGGATGGCTGCATCCAAGGAGCGACTGAGACTGAGGCTTGGGCCGCTGAGAGGACAGCCCCCACGCAGCGGCCAGCCAGGTGGGAGGAGGGACTCACCTCCAACTCCTTGAAGACCATGCACCTGCGTGCCCAGTCCACGATGGAGATGAAGGTCTGGTCGGCCATCCTGCACAGGAGGTTGAAGGACGCAGGCTGGTCGGGGCGGCCTTTGGCTGGTTCCTGCAGGCAGCCGATGATGCGCGCCCGAACCTGGTCCTCGTCCGGCTCCAGCTGCAACAGCTGCAGGATGAGCTCGGGCACGCCAGGCCCCCCGGAGAAGGGCTCTGGGTAGCCATAGGGTGGCCCAGGCTGCGGAGGGCTGGCGTAGGGCTCCGGGTACTCAGACTTGATGGCACGGCCAGGGAAGGCAGGATAGAGGTAGCCAGCCAGCGGCCCGTTGGTGCTGGGCACGGCCATGGGCAGGGCTGGGGCCCCAAAGTCGCCCAGTGGCCCAGCAGGTGGACCAGAGGCCAGGCCCTTGGGCTCAGGCACATGCAGGCCGGGGGGTAGCATGTAGTCCGGTGGGGGAGGGGGCGGAGGGGGTACCCCCATTGGGGGGCCTGTCTCCAGCTTGAAGCCATTGGCTCGAATCTGTGCCTTCTTTTGCTGCTTCAGGGCCCGGTCCCGCTTGTACATGGGCCCAAACTTGTTCCGGCCACCCCGCATGCGGTCAGCACGCACGGCTGTGGGCAGAGGCAGAGGGTCAGACTCACTGCCTCCGAGCTACCCACCATGCTGCCCCACTCACAGATCTTTCCCCAACAGATCTCACTGCGTCCCTCCCCGGCTCAGCATCTTTCATGGCTCCCCGTGCCTGTGGATGAAGTCCATCTCCTTAGCCTGGCATTCAAGGCTGTGTTCACTTTCCAGGTTATCCCTCACGAGACCTTTTGTTTTTCGCACTCCACCTCACTCATCTCTCTGCTGCTCTGCTGGGCACTTCTCCTCCGTCCTCCACCCTATCTTTGATATTCCTTCTGCCTCAAACCCTTTCCTTCTCTCATGCCTGTCGAACATCCAGCCCTGAGGTCACCACCTCCAGGAAGTATTCCTGGATTCATCCCAGACAGAATCCTGGGATGTTCTTGCCCCAGATGTCTTGCCTCTTGCCCATTCTCATCCTGCTGAGTGAAATCATGCCACGTGACCCAGGCTGAGAGCTCCTGGGGGCTCAGCAATGGGTTCAGGAGCCCACCCTGGGGCCTGGCAGGGAGACAGTGACAGGAAGTGCGCCCTGGTCAGCCTTGTTCACAGCTGGGCCCTCAGTGTCCAGCTGCTCCTTGACTGACTGCCTGACTCCGTCAGACCCCTGTTGCAAAATGACTGAGGCTCCCCCCACTGCCTCCAAATCTGAAGCTGAGTTTAGGGCTGGCCGGGGCTCTATGCTGGGGGAAGGGACCTCCCTTGCTGACCAGATGTCCCTCCGCTTGGCCAAGAATGTGTCACCAGCCAGACCCAACAGGTGCGTCTCTGCAGCTGTAGAGTGGCCCCAGCCCCTGCTTATAGGATCCCACCCTGGGCTCCGGGAGAAGGGAGAGAACAGGACAGAGGGGGCAGGGCTCCCCACCAGTCCTCCTGCAGGGCCTGGGCAGCCCGGCTCCACTCACTCCTGCCCCACCAGGGGTTTCTGCTGCTCACCCAACCTGCTCTCCTGGCCCCTCAGGACCCGGAGCTGGGGTCTGGGCTCTGGGGACAGGACAGGGGCTCCCCCTCGAATACAGGAGTCCCTCCTCTAGGGGGCATCTCTCAGAGCCTCGAGGGGCCTTCTCCTGGAGCTGCTTCTCCAACAGCTGTCTGCTGGGCGCACAGCCCGGCTGGGGCCGGCGGGGTGGAAACCTACGACTGTCCACGCCGGAGAGCTTGAGTCTTTCCTGCTCAACCGCTTCTCCTCCCCTCTGGACCGAGAGCTGGGAGGGGGAGGCAAGGATGGGCCTGGGTCCTCGGGGGCAGTTGTTCCCCACTCCCCCGCCCTCTCAGGGCCTGGCTGAGAAACCCTGCCGGCAGGAATCTCACCCGCTGAGTGAGTGAACTGAGGGAGTCTTTCGGAAGGGCCAAGAGACGCACACAGGGGTGGGCTGGACGATGGAGGGCAGCGCAGCGAAGATGGACGGATGATAACGATCATGACAGGGAACCTGGGGAGCGTTCGCTCTGAGCCAGGCACGTGCTAGGAGCTTTTCATGCAGTTCTCTCGCACTAACTCAAGAGGAAGGCACTACTATTAGCTCCATTTTTCAAACTTGGAATCTGCCGCTCAGAGAGGTTAACGAACTTGCCCAATGTCACCCAGACTGTAAGGGGTGGCGCTGGGACTTGCACTCTGTAAAGGTATTGAACGACGTGGCTCTGGCTGGGTTAGGTGTCAGTGCAACACCTCACAGAAGGAGGAGCTCAGAGGCGCTGCCCTGTGCTGTCCACCTCTGCCAAGGGCTGGGGACAGGGTCATCTTCCTGGGGTTCACTTCCAAATACTTCTAACCCAATCCAGGCTCTTCCAGCATGCATCTCCCCTCCCGGACCGACAACAGTTCTCACCCGTCCCCCGCAGAGATTAGGGCCCTAACGTCCCGCCAGGGGCCAATCGTCGGCCCCAGAAACTTCACGGCCAGTGGCGCCCTCCCCTCACCCCTTCTCCCACCCCCACGCCCTGTCGCCGTCAGCGGTCGCGGGTCCGAGGCCCGGGCGCGGCGCGCGCACCTTCCAGGCGCATCCCCACCGTCAGGCACTTCTGGAAGCGGCAGAAGGGACAGCGCTTGCGCTGCGTCTTGTCGATCTTGCAGCTCTGGCTCTCGGTGCACGTGTAGTGCTTGTTGTTCTGCACCGTGCGCTTGAAGAAGCCCTGGGGGAGCGGGGCGTCAGCGCGGGGGGCCCGGCCGCTCTCGGCGCCCGCGCAGGGCTCCCCGGGGCGCTCCGCGAGCCCGCTCCCCAGCCCGGCCCCGCCGCCCGCTCACCTTGCAGCTCTCGCATGTGAGCAGCCCGTAGTGGTAGCCGGACACCTTGTCCCCACACACGGGGCACAGCTCGTCCAGGTCCTCGTCGTACGAATAGTCCATGCCCGCGGCGTCCGCCTGCCGAGGGAGGAGGGGGTCACCGGGTAGGACGGGTCCTGCGCACCCGCCGCGCACCCACACGCCCTCCTTAGGGACCCGGCCCGCGGCCCATCACAGCGCCCAGGGCAGGCCGCCCGTTGGGGCGCCCCGAGCAGCCCGCGCCGGCCTTCCTGACCCAGTCCCAGCGCGCCCCGCCCCCGCCCGGGGTCCCTCCTACGCAGCCCCCCGCCGCCCCCCATCCGGGACCCTCGGATTCGATGCGCTTTGATCCGCATTCGTTCGTCTGAGAACAAAACCCCGATTCTGAGAAAACGAGATGTGTTCGGCCGCGGGGGAGACGCCGATGAACCCGGGCGGAATGGGGCCTGGGTGTTGTGGGGATTCGACAGAGACGAGGAGGACAGAGACAGAGTCTGGGAGAGACAGGCAGGGGGCAGAGACGAGAGCGAGAGACACCGACCGACACTGCTGAACGAGAGGGGACCCGGGCGACGGAGACAACGAAAATCCGGGACTGACAGAGACACAGTGATGCCAAGTCAGAGGAAACCTGGGGGAGACAAGAAAGACAGAGACAGAGAGGGACAAAGAGAGAGAGATGAGAGACACCGAGAGACGGAGGCCCAAAGAGAAAACCTGGGAGACACAGCCGCAGAGCCAGAGACGCGGTGGTAGAGGAGAGACAGACCGAGACACCGAGAGACAAGAGGAACCTGGGAGAGAAGGAGGAGAGAGAGAGACAGAGACACCGAGAGAAAACCTGGAGAGACGGAGGCGCCCAGCCAGGGGTCGGGGAGGGAGGATGCCCGGAAACGCGGGCCTGGCGCTCGTGCCGCAGGCGCGCCCTGCAGAGCGGCCCCGGCCAGGGCTGGAGCCGCGGGAGGAAGACGACGCGCCCGGGACGGAGCCTGAGCGCGCGCGGCCGCCGGGGCCCCGGGGCCGGGAGAGACAAAGCCCGCGGCCGCGACGGCAGCGGGGGCGCAGCCGGCCGGCGGCCGAGACGTCGGGCGGAGAGCCGGCCAGGGGCGCCGCGGAGACGGCGGGCGCCGGGCGCGAGGCGCAGAGACCTCGGGCGGAGACCCCGCGGGCTCCGGGAGGCCCAGCCCGAGGCGGGGGAGCGACCTCGGGCGGAGAGTCGAAGTCCCGAGGAGGACAGCGCGCCGAGCCCGGGCCCGGGCAGCGAGAAGGGGCGCGACGGCGGCCGCGGCCCGCCCGGCGCCCACCTGGCGGCTCCTGCGAGCAGCAGCGCCCCGCGTCCCGCCGCGCGGAGCCCCGCACCTCCCGGCCGCGCCGCCGCCGGCGATGAGCCGCACCCGGGCGCAGCGCCGCCCGCCCGCGATGACGGCCGCTCGGGCCGGGGGCGGGGAGGCGGGGGCGCGGGGCTGGCGGCGCGGGCC